GCGACAAGGGTTGCTAATAGTCCGAGACTAAAATTGATGGGTGCCACGGTCACGGTTATCAGTGCAACGAGGGCACTTACGAGTTATGATCTACTTACAGATTTACAGCTAAAATGTAATGCAAAAAATGAAACACAAATTATTGTTTTGCAACGGCAACTCGGCCCGAACGGACTTTCCTGAACGCACTATTTTCTTTTTACAATCTCAACTACATTGTTTAAAATTCCTTGGAATCTCACCCACTAAATCATCTGAATTTTAATTACAAAATTTGAATTCCATTTTCACTCAAAATCATCACGAATTTTTCATTCATCTTGAAAATTTAAGAAAGTTGGTTTAAAGTTATTGTTTAATATCATATAATAATTTATTTTTTGACGTAAACGGGAATCATATTCATCGTGAACATGCAACACGAATTAATAATAATATTTGCAATTAAAAATGTTCAAAAAAATACATGAACAAAATAATAATAAAATGGCCGACATGGATTTTGGGAGGAGACACGTGACTTGAGTGATTTTTAAGTGATTTTTCTGAAAATTCAATGTCTCCTTCTGCCAACGATTCCACAGATATTCCCGTATACCTACAATAATACAATTCGAATTAAATTCTCCATGAGTTCTGAGCTGTACGACAAAAATGGCTGTGCTCTACTTGATTGGTGCGGATGTGCCGAAGCCCGTCATGCTCAAATGAAAATCAATATCAAACAAATAATAAATATCAATAAATAAATATAAATATAATCTTATATTTATTTCGCTTCGCATACCGCTTGTCTCATTGCCATTCGATTTTTCCCACCCATCCAGAAAGGATCATCGGCTGAAATTTTCCACGGGTGCCATTAAAATACCAGAAAACCGGTGGAATTAAGTCTGGATTATTTCCAGGACAAATAAAACTCCATCTGCATCCACTTTGTGGTCTCTAGTCGACTGAAAACTTTCCGCAATCGGTGATATTCCATTGCCTTGAATGAAACCAGGTGTAATTGGAGATATCACCCTTAAGTGAGTTATCTTGAGGAATATTTATGAAGTACCTTTACCTCGAGGCAGTCAGGAAGTCTTGTCTTTCACCTTCGAAGGACGCATTCTGCACTACCAGTTTCTCCTCCCCACGGAGAATAATATCATTAGACCCGAAGTAACTGAATCGTTCCTTTAGACTAGATTGATTTAGCGCTGTGTCAATGATAATTAAATGATAATTGATAATTAGATTAAAATGTCTTGGTGGTGTCGACGGTGTGAGAAAATCAAAAAGGGGAAATCCTAAAAAGTGCGAAATTTAAATTGCTCGCTGATGCATCTACCCAGCGGCTGTTGTAACGGTTAAGAAAAGGCATTAACCCACCACCCTGTAATCATTCTCATTATCATTTATTCATGTGTATGTCCGTCTATCCATATGTATGTGTGTCTATCATACTCTTATCCTCTATTATTTGCGGTACACTCAGTTCTGGCTTTTCAACAGCATCGAATTTTTTATCGTCTTTTACGAGGATTTAACTTCTATAAAACATTTCCGCATTGCAGAAGTCTCAGCTCAATTTCACGAATTCACTGGTGGAAAATTAGTCGTAGAGTTTATAATCGAGGAGTCATAAAGATCTCTCGTGGTAATCTATAAAACGATTCCGTTTTTAAATTTAGAGAATATTCTCTGTCACCAGATGAATTTTCAAAAAAAAAATCGGAAGTTCTCGATTGCAAGAATTTTTAATTGGGATTCAATTCAATTTTCGATTCAGAATTCCTCCGCAAATTACAATGGAATGAAAATTAATTCGACTTTTTTTTTTGGAAATATTTCCAACGATTTAAATGGTGGTAAATAAATTTGGTAGAAAAAAAAATTGTTTTCTCAGTGGATGAAACTCCAGAGGGTCAATGTCACGAGCAAGAAATATTCTAGAAAATGCGTTAGTTTTTATGGTGCCATTATTGCCGGTGTTCTTGTCATCAAGTGACTCGGTGGTTATCCCTCAGAGGACCTCTCCATTCATTCTCCAACACAGATAAACCGAATGATCTCTGCAGAGTTCACGGATGTGTAAACACGCCATTCTCCAACCAAGTCATTGAGACTTCAGGAACAAAACGAAAAAAAAAAAAAGGTGAAACATTTTCCCCGCAAAATGGCAATTTCCCCCGTGGTCTCACTTTTGTCCCCTCGTCCTACATCAACTGGAGAGAAATAAATTCATTCACTGTTTTTCCCCCCCCCTTTTTATCCATTTACAGAATAAAAACCGGACAAATCCGCTGTCGATTTGCCAATGCCAATATACCAACAAGTGTTTCTCTCGCGAAAGGAGATATCACGGCTCAATATTGCGTAATTATTGTCGCGTGTAATGCGTATAACAGTTGCTGTAACCATGGATAGTCTCTTTCCCGCAGAATCCAAACGTCCTTTTCACATTATCCGTGTGTAACGCACAGATTCAATACATTGAACATTTCTTGCACAACTGTCATACCGGTCTCGATTTATACGATTGACCTGGATCTTCCATGACCAGGGGTGTGAGAGTAACGTTGCACCGAGATATTTGGGTCAAGATCTCCAAATTTCATCAATCCGGAAAATTACATCACAATTAATACCGGAATTTTGACAGTCCCTCCATCGAATGAGTCATCGATACAAAAATTTTAACGGAATTGCATTCTCTATAATAAAATTCATGAAAAACTCGCTCTTAGAAAAACTCTAAATCATTATCAGCATCTCATTAAGTTGATGCACAGGAGATAGGATTATTAATCCATAGAAAATTGCAACTTTTGACCGACTTTTGTACCGGTTACCGATCGCTGATGATTAATATACTCTCGTCACGACAGAATTAGTCCTAATAACTCGAGAATCATCGCTTTATGACTCGTTGATCCTCGCAGATGGTGTCCACATATGCAAGACTTAATCGTTTCAAATTGAAAGATTGTAATTGAAGAATTATTCACGGTGTATCGCGGTGTTGGTTATCAGCACCGATTTCTGATGATGCTACTGAGACCGTCGACTTTCTCGTTGCAATTGCGTTTCCAATCCAACTTTCCTTCTGGGATGATTACCATTAAATTTACCGGTATTTTACCGGTATTTTACCGGCATTTCACCGTATTGTACTGACGAGCCTCTACCGATTTTTTACAAAGAGATTGATCGATCGAATTGGATATCGGCATTGATTGACTGAAATAAATTGCGAACAGGAAATCAAAGATCGAGGGATTCCGTTAAATTACGCCATTGAAATATATCCGTGAGAAATACCTGGAAGCATTCGACCTTGACTCGTGCTACTGAAGTTCATTGCCTTTCGATTGGGCCTGTCTAATACCCCAGATGTTTATTCAAATTCCGAACTGAATTCAATCCGCAAGTGTTAGAAGTAGGTAATTCAGCTCTTCCGGATGTTTTTTGTAAATATCTCCGAAACTTCGGGCGATAAAGAAATTTTTATTACGACCTTTTCTTTAGCCCTGAATTTTCTCTCGAAAAAAGGTCCAATCGAAATTTAACTATCTCTTTCACATTCAGAGATATTTCGGAAAAAAAGAATTCTCATTGAAGTGCAATTACGATTATTTCAGTTTCACGAGATAATTTCTTCTTTCCGTCAAGAAAAACAACGTAACAATTGAACGTAGGCTGTGTAAATACGCAGCTTATCAAATAAGTGGCATGAATGATAATCAAAGGGTAAGATGTTTTGATGGAAAAATGTCCAACCGTCCATTACAAAAATATGTGTTGGTCTGTGGGATAGCGGTAGCGCGTCATTTCGTTCCTCCTGCTTTTCTGTTTTTACATCATGTCTATGCGAAAATTACCGCTGTCGATTCTGCGTTTGAAGATTATTTTGCGGAAAGTGTAAATGATGAGACTCAACAGATTCCATCTTTCACGATTTAAATTTGCAATGGCAAACAAGAAAAAAACGAAAAATCATGGGATTCCCATAAAAATTATGGACAATAAAATTTTCACATTCTCTTGAGTAATTGTGTTGCATTCATACTTCATTAAACATTGTAAGATGACTAATTGCAAAAAATACTAGGACCATTTGCACCTGCCATCTGTCTTCTCCTGAAAACTTGTCTATTACCTATTACTGCAATAACCGATGACATCAATTCTAGTCGCTGCCATTTTATTTTATTTTATGGCCATTGACCTTAGAACATGCTAAAAGCCAAGGCTGTCGATTCATGTCAACACGTTCCCATCAGACCCAAAAATTCATATTGAAAAACCGACACGACAGGTCATGATTTGATCTGTCAGTTCCCCGTGGCACGTATATATATGCAGAAATATATGTTGGGACTGATTGTGTGTTTGCAGGTAATTTCGCGGGGAATCTCTTCGCGAGATTCTCTTCGCGGGATTCTCTTCCTGGATTGAGAAATACTACGTGACGGAAAAATATCAAATTTTTACAGCATCTCGAGTAATTGTTTTACCCATGATTCATTAAACATAAAAAAATGAATAATTGCTCTCTTCAATTCTTCAACGATTCTATTAAAAGTTTGAGAAGATTATAACATTAAGAATTATTTGAGAAGATTATAACGTAAGATTAACAGTATAACATTTACCCGATGTTTTCCGCCATTTTGTCAGCCGCCTTTCCGCGATTCGAAATGGCGGAACACATGGGAACCCTTCAGTTCAATTATATTATGATTATATTATGATTTTCAGCATTAATCCAATAATTCTTCATAAAAGTTCGCAACTGTGCACATTTCGGAGTCAGTAGCTATTATTGCAACAACAGATGACATCAATTCCACCATTTTATGGCCAATGACCCTAAAACGCGATAAAAGCCAAGGCTGCGCATCCATATTAGGCAATCCCCCTCAATCTGCAAAATCCTTATTGACACCGTCACTCAATAATCGTCCTAATTACCGATTATGATTCTATCAATAATTCATGATTTCTCCTTTCAGGCAGAATAGCAGCCATTTTGTTTGGCATACTGGCACTTGCAATTGGTATTATTCTCAGTAGTATTCCCTGGGTCGACTACGTTATTTTAAGAGTGAGTACCCCATTTTTATGATATCACCAATGATTTTTATGATGGAATAATGGTGAAAGGAGTTTGCACTTATTTCTACACCATGAGAAATGGCTTTCACATTATTTTTTAATGATTCATTATGGTCATCATAACTCAATCCTAACGCACGTGAATCGCATTGGAAAACAGTTCTTTCATTTTAATAAGCAGTTTTCCTATTCAAACTCGTGAGATGAAACTCTGGGGAAATCATTCTCATTTATTATTTTGCAGCAATTAAGATTATGGAATGGTTCGCTCTCGTTCCAGTACTGGCAGAAGCCAGGAGTAGTCAGACTCACCAAAGTTTACATATTCAATGTGACGAATGTTGATAATTTCTTGAACCTCCAAGAGAAGCCTAAGCTGCAGGAAGTCGGACCATTCGTCTACAAGTGAGTCGAATATTTTATTCACAGGATCTTTTTCATTGTCATATAACCATCAAAACGCGCACGGAACACAAAATTCCAATATCTAATAATAATTTTCCAAATATAGATTCCAAAATCCATAAATTTACTCACATGGAATAAATAATCACTAGAAATTTTCGTCTCAGTGTGTCAAGTCCTCAATGACGACATCATTAAATCCGCAGTGATTTTTAATTTTTCATCAAATCGATACTGAATAAATCAGAGAAATCACTTACATCAGCACCAGTACTCATTACTCACTAATAATAAACATTTATTAACACGAAGGAAGAGTTGAATCTCCTGTGAAGTAGTTAGATCCGGTGCACTCTCATGTAATTCTCCAACGCGGAAATACTTCGTCAATTAAGGCCGATTTCTACAGTACAATTGCCCTGGCACAGGCGTCAAGAGAATAAACAATATTAATTAATATATCGCGTGTACTATACTCGTATGGAGTATAAATCTCCTTCTAACTATTGAAAATGACGTGGCATCTATTGAGTACGTGTAATGACGGTTTATTCTCGTGGTATATTGAATTTATAAGATATATGGCTATTGGACGTGAGTATATATCAGATTTTAAATACATTGCCAAGCTTTTCGAATGAAGTCCGAGTAGTTCGGTTACAACTGCTTCCTCACGTTTGAACGAGGTCATACCATCAAGGATCGCATTATGCTGAAAATTGTTGACTTCAAAAGACCGTACGTGTCTGATGTCGAGGCGAACATCAAAATTGCTCTGTCCACGATTCAAACGCATTATATTCATTATAGCGAGTTGGATGGCATTGTAAATATTTCCCAGGGATATTTTCCATGTCGACGTTAATCTTCTGGAGATTAACTGTGACAGGATTACGATTAATGAGGATATGATTTATCTAGATCATCGATTGATAGCGAGGAATGAATTAAACACGAATTAATTTGGATATTTCTTTCTTTCTTGAGGTTGATGGATTCGTTAGGTTGAATTGTCTGTTCTGAAGTTTGAGAGATACTTGGGCATGATCCTTGTTATCATCTAGGACATCTCGCATCAGGAGAATCTAATGGAGCAGTAATAAATGAAATTTATGTCCACCTTGATGAAATGGTATGAATACTTCATGAATATTTCATGCCAGGGAATAAAACATTGACTCATTGCGTACGAGTAAAAGTGTACTTGAGCAAGAAATAATATCATGAAATTTGTTGAATCGATTATATCCAGCGGAAAGCATAAAGGCGATGCAATTTTTATTTGCTCGCTCGAATGAGTTTTCCAGTGTCAATCGGTTGATAAAAAATCAGGTGTTCGATGTTGTTTAAGGGGACGAACTTGTTTTTAGGCGCACGGGGGGCGATCACCTTTATTCAGTTTATTCTGGTCTTTATCCGCGGGTCTGACGAAAAAAATAATGGCGAATAGAATTTTCGGGTGCCGGTGTAATTTTCCTGGAGAATTTTCCTAAAGGATTTCCTTGTGGTCTAGGTGAATTGATCTCCCATGCATGTCGGTGTCGTGTATATTTATATTACTTTGTATTTATAATACGAGATCGATATTTCAAGATATTCCAAACGATTTCCTTTCTTTTTTATATTACAACGACATCGACAATTGAAATCTTCAAATAATCTTAAATATCTCAACAAATTACCTACAATTTATATTTTTTTCTTTAATTAAATTCTATTGATAAATGCAATATTTTTTTTATTACTCTAGACAAATTATTTTATTAAATAATTCTATTTTATAAACTGGAAAAAAACGTTACATGCTTTCTTTTAAAAGTGATAGTGAATCGGGAAAAATCCACTTGCCACTCAGAGAAAAAATAAAAAAAACCTATATCAACAAACTCACCGATATAAAAAATGGAATAAATGATTTTTTTTACGTACACCAATAAATCCTTGACTCGGATGTTTTAAAAGGGATAGATTATGATAAGCATTTCACATTGATATCGGCCAAGGTGATCCTCTCATACACTGAATTCTTGAGATTGAATTCTCATCGGGAATCCAATACGAATAAATAATTATCGAGAACACTCAGCAAATTATGCGATAAATATTAAAACCAATTTGTCCATCAACAACTCGACAACAGCTCTGGACAAATTAACATGCATTTATCATTCATCATGGCAATCAAGAGTGTAAACTCGACGTATCCAAATAAAAATGAGAGGCAATGAAAATAATGGATAATAAGAGGGTAATAATTCCCTCGAATGTACTTTCATCGCGGATCAAACAAACTCGGATAAAAATTTCAACAAAAATCTGTAATATCACCCAGTTTACACACGTAACATGAAAATAAGAATAAAACTATCAAACTCGGGTACATGTAATTCCGTATTTTCCGGTGGATAAAGTAAGAAAAACACAGTGGAGGATAATTTCTTGAATATAACTCTGCGACTATCTCATACGAGTGATGATCGCGTGCATATGGATTTTCTCTTCCGTATTGTACCAACTTCGATGCCTGCATTTATATTCCTGACGTGCAATAAAAATCCGTGAAATAATATCGCAGTGAATAACAATTGGTGAAAGAGACCGATGGATCAGTAATTTTTTTTATTAATTCTTAAGACCGATGGATCAGCCAATTTTTTTTATTAATTCTTATGATCGATACGTGAAGTTAAATATGAAAACAGCACTGGCATCATGATCTGTTACTTTGATTATGTAATACCACTGGGTTACGCAGGGTTAAGTGCACATGCATCTACAATCTCCCTTTCAATCACTTTCCATCTCGACGTTTAAATTTGTGTCACTGAATTACAATCATCTGACAGTTCTATTCTCTATTGTTTTATTTAATCGGTTTATCCATGGAGTTGAGGTAGATCCAGGGAGACATATTTTTATTCAGTTAATCTAAAAATAGTTTTCCATTTATTCGAATGACTTTTAAGTTGAAAATACACCAGCTGTCTGAAGCCGTATAAACCTTGTGTTGGTGTATGCTGGTTATGTGACGTAATGTCCATTACTATACCAAGTTATAAGAAAGTGGGTCCAGGAGAGTGTCGTCAGACGCGGAAACGAGAAATGCCCATTTTTCGTTGTTGACAAATATGAGAAAATTAGAGAATTCATTAATTCCGTGAGCTAGATCAACGGATTACACTCTGCAGTTTAATTGTGACGCACTTTACTAACTCGTGTAATAAAGAAAGTTTTTATTCACCTCGTGAGAGAGAGATTTTTTGACAACTTTTTATTTATATTTCCGGCACATGGATCTACCGTGGAATCAGAGATGATGAGATATGGAATTCCCCTTTTTTTTTTAATCGGATGTAACTAAAATTATTAAAAATGATGAAAAATATTCGTTAAAAAATGGAATTTTATTTTTATTCGTAGAATTTATTTATTTATATTTATTTTATTCGTATTCCTCTTGAGGACATATTACTCAAGAAAAATACGTAATTGAATTCGCTGTAATGATTAATTAATGATGAATTAGCGATAATTACGTGAATGAATTTAGCATTGGGCTTGGAGCGATGAAGACTTGCGTATTTCACTCATAATAAACGTATTGTGACACAAAATGTGAGAGAATGTATCATTTTTATTTATTTATTTGATAAATGGAGATACGTGAGTGGTAAATTAGGGAGAGTCACGGACGAGTGATGAATAAATTTCATGCATTTCTCTGCATGACTCACTCGAATTTCACCACTGCTATTTCTCCCGATAAATTACATTTCTGTAAAATTAAATGAGTCAATTAAATACCGATGGTGATATCGATGATTTAATCGATTAATGTCTCTCGATCAAAGGTTTTACGGTAGGTCATTGTTCCTAACTGTCTGAAATCGTTAGCATACCATTCGAAATGAAGGTATTGTGACACAATAGTACCGTATGTCTTTCATTCAATCCGCAATTCTAATAATTCGCTTTCTACGGAAGTGCACGTGGCAAGTCGTACACTATGAACAAGCCGAGTATTGAATTCACGTTTTCAGGTTGTACATAAATGCTGAGGTATTACGAGAACTCTTACATCTTTAGGTGTAGGTTGTATTGCATCGATTACACGTAATAACGGCTTATGATTCAATACAGCGTATCACAGCTACTTGTACTCGAGGATTATTTGTTGGTTGGTTGTTAAATTTCAATATTTAATTTTATGGACGCCTGTATGGCGCATTTCCCAATCATTTTGGAAGAATTTCGTTGATTATTTATTTGTTTTGGGAGTTATGGGCAATCAGAAGGGTATGATTCATCTTGAATGAAAGTGCTTGACACCATTCTATTTTAATGAACAAAATCCAAGTCGATAATTGGCTATAAATCTTTGATTTGTTTTTTTTTTCTTTTTCTCAAGTACTTCATCGGTCTTCACAGATAATTCCATTCAGCTGCTTCATTGTTTCACTATTTGGAAATACTGAAGAGTATTCGAAGAGTCGTTGTCATTTTAATTTCACTGACCCCAATGGTCTTTACGTAAAATTCAGCAAAAAACTGGATATTACCTCATTTTCAAGGACACTTGTTCAATATTATTTTTTGGCTTCTCAGATTTTTTTTTTGTCTCATTTGAATTCTAAATGTCCTCGGGCCTTTATTATTTATGTAATGAAAGGTTAAATATCGTAATATGGATATTGTCTCTCGATTCGCGGAAAAATCGTTGGCTTTAGGAGTTGAAAATCGGTTGGACAGTGTAAAAATCACCTTCACGGATATGTGAGAATTTATTTCGTGAGAGGTCCACAATGGATGCAGTTTCATGGTACTTAAAACACGTTGAAGAGATTTTTAAACTGAGGGATCAAGACCATTCCGATTCCCGCGATTTTTTTTCATCTTTGGATGACTCAACCGACACGTGTGCATCCACTGGGAATTTCCGTGGCTTCTTTTCATCGTTTCTACCTGATCACCTGTTTTTACTAACCAGGATAATTTTTTTATATTCCAACTAAAAAATTGATTTATAGATATATTTCTTGCCGAATCAGTCTCCCAAGAATTATGTAATTATGCTCATTCGCTTCGAGGAAGGTTTGACCCTCGAAATATTAATTCCGGGAATATACGATCCTTGAAATGAAGAGTGAAATATTCTGACCTTCTCCTGTCTCGTTGACAACCTGCAACGTGTCCCTGACAGATGAATATTTCGGTGTCAGTCCTCTAACACCAATAAAAAATGTCAAAATTCCCCATTGCATCGATGACACCTGAAGCACCAGTAATTAAAAAAAAAAAACGAGAATGGAAACCTCGTAAAATGATTCAATTGAATTCGCGCCTCATAATGCGCAATTACCTGACAAATCCGTCAAAAGTGGTGGTGTTCATCTTCACGCGTTTATTTCTCCAGGATAATAACTTCTCTAATAACAAACAAGCAAAACCCATAAATTGGATTTAATATTACACCTGGAAGTAACAATCCTACTCAACGACTTTGGCATAATTTTCAAGTCGTAACAATCAATTACCTGAAAAATCCGTTATGCAGGTGCGGTGAACGCATCAGGTGAGAAAGCTGACCTTCCTCTAGGTCATGAAGTACCTGACCACTGACAAGTATTTAGTCCTCCATTTGGTCGTTGAATAAATATAAATCTAATAAATTAAAATAACGAGGAGTTCGAATGACAATTATGACACGAGAATTCTTTCTGTCTGGTATTTTACGTTGGTATTTATTTATTTATTATATTTATTACATTCCTGACTCTGATTTATCAATTTTCTGCTCAACCAATGTGGAAAGATTAATCTAAAAATCCGGTAGTCTTTCCTCAGTGGATATCCACGGACTCAACTTTCTCGATCGTAATCTTCACTGGCATTAGAGCATTCACTCAACTTTGTAATCACTCCTGGAATACAGACACTACCTTTTTGATTATAGCACTAACAGGATTGTTAGATTATTATGAAATTCATTGAATAAGACATTACACGCAGTAATTTAATGCACCTGTAAAGTTCAAGGTGAGCATGGTGAGATACTTCTCGCGGTTCTACAATGGGGATCTCAAAAAAAATTTTCAAAACCCTCATTAACAAATTGATTAATCAATCACGTCGTTTGTTGTTGCAAGCATATTATCTCTCGGTACAATGTAGTCGTTTTTGTAATTGATATTTTGTCAGATTCGTTACGAATTTATGATAATGCTTGGGAATGGGTGATATGGATATGTTTTTATTTGAATTGGTCTTGTCGAAATGATTTCGAGTGTCGACTGCCTTTCTCAAATCACAGAATGACTAGATAACTAAAATGATAAACTCGTTGAAAACCATTTAATTATTATCAGATAGAATGTCAAGTCGATGGTTCCAAAAAAAATTGTTTCTTTAATTATTCAAATACGTAATAAATTTGCAATAAAAAATGTTCTCGAGGGAAATGCTTCATTCATCGATTTATCACATCGTAGTTATTTATTTATTAATTTTTATTTTGTGTTTGTCAAGATATGCGGAAATCGAAAGAAATTAAAGGATGAATTTTTAATGGTTCTCTATTTTCCCGTAGCGTCTCCTAATTTGTTTAATTGTTTTAATTACAGGGAAGACATGGAGAAGGTGAACATCGTATTCCATAATAATGGAACAGTTTCATATCAGCATAAAAAAATATTAAATTTCGTCCCGGAACTGTCCAAGGATGGAGATCTACGGGTCATAGTGCCGAACATACCACTTTTGGTGAGTAATTCATTTTTATAACAATATATCGCGGTCTGATGAATTATTCATGACGATCCTCGGATTTTCGCAGACACTGACAACGCAGAGCAGAAGTTTACATTCTGTCATCAATATGGGACTGTCCATGTTCATAAGTGGAATGAATCAGAAGCCTTTTGTCCCGGTGACTGCCCAGGAGTTGGTGTTCGGTTATGACGATCCTTTAGTGACTTTAGCACACCGATTTTTTCCGAAAGCACGGAGACCGATGAGTCAAATGGGCCTCTTACTCGGGGTGAGATTGCAATAAATTTACTAAACATTCGATCAGTCATTAATAGGTACAGGAAAGTAGATCACTCGAAACATTGTGATGTGAAGCGCAACCTTGAATTAACTGTTGAAATAATGATCGGTCATCAAATCGGAATGTCATTTATAAATTAATAAAAAATAGAGAAATTTCTCATGAAATTTTTATATGAAAATTCTATCAATGTTTTCAATGTACACTACATCCCCCACATTTCTCTCCGTGATTTATTGAATTGGAGAAATCATAATTCTTAACGTAAATACAGAGAAATGGAACTCTTAACGAAGTGTCAACAATCTTCACTGGACACACTGACATGAAGGAGTTTGGCTTGATAAATCGGTTGAATGGTCTCGATCGACTTCCCTTCTGGTCTGAGGAACCGTGCAATTCCATCAGTGCATCAGAAGGTAAATAAAACTCTGAATCCTTATGTAATGAATACATTTCCTCATGACACCGCGAAAGACAACTGAAAAAAAATTAAAGATTCATAGAGGAATTCAATTCCAATAATTAAATTAAAATAGGACATACATATGATTGACATGTTTAACTGAAATTTGAAGAATTAATTGAATACATTAATTGAATTAATAAAATTAATTGAATATTGTGTATATATATACGCACGATTTAAAAATCGCATGAATCATGAATCGCTTGATCTTTTTCTCAATGTACATTCAATCATTGCTGTCATTACATTTGTTTAGGATCATTCTTCCCCCCTCGAGACAGCACCGGAGAGGACGTAGTTCATGTCTACGACAAAGATCTCTGTCGGATCCTTCCGCTGCAGTACAGAGGACCAGTGGAAAAGGCAGGAATAAGTGCCGATCTCTACACACCCACCGATGATGTATTCGACCCACCAAGTGCTAAAACACCGGACAATGAATGTTTTTGTCCTGATGACCCCAAGAGCTGCCCGCCGAAGGGCCTCCAAGACATCAGCCCGTGTCAATACAGTAGGTTTTTCAATAGCTATTTACCTTTCTCATGTCGACTAATCAGCATTCGTGAAAACTTACGTTCACATGAAAAATCGGATTTTTTTCAGGTGCACCTGTGTATTTATCATTCCCACATTTTTACAAAGCAGATCCTCAACTTCTCGACGCAGTCGAGGGCCTCAAGCCACTGCCAGAGTTGCATGAAACGTTCTTCAAAATTCAACCGGTAAATAAACTAATAAATTAATAATCAATTTGAAAGGAAACCGGATTATATTCTTATTTATCATATCGTTTTAAAATATTATGAATTATGCATTATGAATTATTTATAAATAAAAGAAGGTATACCTTGAGAAGGAAAGGCGATGAGAAGGTTCGGTAAATCTGTGAGTTAAGAAATTGGGGGGATATTTTTTATTTTCAGAAACTTGGTGTACCCGTAGAAGGCAAGGTGCGTGTTCAATTGAATTTAAAAGTTGAGAATCAACCAGCCATCAAGGCAGTTGCCAATTTTCCGGATATAGTATTTCCAATAATGTGGCTCGAAGAGGGAATTGACGAATTGACACCCTCAATAAGAAGATGGGTTTATCTGTCAACGACATTTGCTGATACCGCTGTGCCCTGCATAACTTACGGCCTCATTCTAGTCGGCATCGTGGTTATAACAACGGTGCTTGTTAAATCTTATAACAATGTTATACCAACCCACGAAGCAATCGAGCTCGGAAAGAGAACCATCAGACGAGGCTCCACATTCATCGTCAACGGTCAAAATCGTGTGATGGTGGTAAAGGAATCTTATATTCTTCTCAATCACAACGCTGAAGATGCCCTACCGATGATTGACGTGTGATTAAAAATCAAATCACTCCCCTATACCGAATAATTTCATTGGAAATGAAAATAAAGTTCGATGATGTCGAACGATTGAACCATGAAGTTCATGCTCAACTTTCTTAATTAGATGAATAAACAAATCTATTGATAATCTCACGTACTCGTTGAATTAATGGATAATTATAGGATAGCGCTGGAGAATTGAATTTTGAGAAAATTCCGAGTGTGATGTGTGCAATAGCTTCATTGACAAAAGCTCTCTTGGCCGGCCTTTCATGTTCTACCTCTGCAATTCCACGAACTCCAAGTTCACGAGAATTGCGTAATGCAAAAGTGCAAGGAAAGCAGAATTATTAAAGCAGATAATTGCATGATTGCGTGCTGATGAATAACATCGGCGTTTCTCTGAAAATGTTAATTTAGGAATAAACATTCCATTACGGTGATATGAGAAAGATCTGATAGGATCAGCGAGGCAGTTGGTTAGAGTTAACAAACGTATCATAATTTATTTGAATAAAAGAATGTGGTATTAGATCGAATGCAAGACAATTATTTGGAAATGAAAAAATTTTGGGTAAAGACGATCCTGCGATTTTCTCCACTGCCATCACTCACTGTGTGATCGCAAGCAGTAAATAAACATAATTTATGTATATATAATTCATCTTAACTATCATCAGTGAATTACTGAGTTATTGATGGAGTTGTGAATCAAGTCAGTACCTTCATCTTGGAATGAGATGAAGCGCAGTATTGAACTACATCACCTCATCGATCTATAATGCCAAACTGCGATTATTTCATAAATATGAAATCTATCCGGTTTTATGTTAGATATTATTGTTTCACATTAACGTGTAAGTTTTGACAATAAAATGTTAGTTGTTCATCATTGAGAAGATCATGTTTGTCATGTTCGACGTAGCGAGAATAAATTATGCGGAATTGCTCAATTTTAATGAGTGTTTTTTTATTCTTTATTATCAATTTTAATGACGTGTTGTGTGGTGATACGTAATTCTTCCTGAAAAGGTGAAATTTAGAGGAGCCCGAGGGGTTTCAGCCTACAGTACACGTGTTTTGTATGAGATTATATTATTACCTGTGAGAAATTGTGTACATGTCAACTGATGACAATAATGACGGTAATAAAAGGTGAGCGAAGGAAAATATTTATCGATACTGGAGAGTATCGCGGTAGGTTTTATTTTCAGTTCTTTCAAAAATTCGATATTCTTTTTTCTATCAAGTGGAAGGATCCACTAATTGGTTTATAAAAAATTTGAAACAAATGATCATCTGTATATGTAACTTCACCCTTATTTTTAATAATTTTAATCATTTGGGGGTGCCGTGACACCGATATTTCGAAAGAATAATGCATCTCCGGATGATTATTGATCTTCTGTGCTACTGTACACATGCGCATTACGCCATGATTCAATGTAACTCAAAAACTTGTACAGAGCAATGTTTCCCAACGTACTACGCGTTATTACCGAGTTCATAATAATATTCAATTGTGTAAATAGTGAAAATATATTCAAGCAAAATGACCAATTGCCACCGGGTGGTTTACAAAGGTGCATCGAGAGTTTCGATGTGCACAGGGATAAAATAATTAGAACACAGGATTCCCTGGCCCTCGGTGCCAAGTATATCATGGAGGACGAAGTTGATGATAGGCAAAATTGCTTGAGACTCTGCTGTCAAACCAACGATTGTGACGTATTTATCTTCGAGGAAAAGGTGAGAAAGAAAACATTTAATAATTAAACAAGTAAGAGCGGTATGTTAATTCCCAAGGAATATTCATGCTACATGTTTTTTCTCAAACTCCAATTATTTAATCACGATAAAAAATTACACTGGCAATTTCCAAGTGATTAGTTCTCTTATCAATGATTTCCGTGAATTTTCTTCATTTTATATCCCAAAAATTTGACGATAAAAGTCAAAATATCGGATGTGCAATGAGATAATAAATAGTTATGATGTTTAGAAGAGAGGCAGCTGTTACTTATTCCACTGTGGCCCACCCCAAGACTTCAAATGTAAATTCACGAGTCACTTGAATTACACGAGTGCAGTACTCACAAATTTGAGCTACAGAAATCCCCCGTACGTGGAGCAATCCGGGAGATCCCAGCAGGAGCATGAATTAAAGTCTCTCCGGAAGGTAGTAGTTCCACAAGCACCAGCAGAATACATCTACACAGATGCGCCAGTGGTTACCACAGAAATTCCAAAGCCAGTTGTCCTGACAACTCCAGCTAAGACCGGCTGCAGTAGAAACCAATACGAATGCCGAACCTCTGGTGATTGCATTGCAATCTATAACGTCTGCGATGGCATACCCCAGTGCACAGACGGTTCGGATGAGGCTGCAGAGTTGGGCTGTCCACCAGAGAAACCCACACCTCCACCTCCCGTTATTCCACCGATGTTACCACCACCTCCAGAGCTCAAGTATCCAGAAGGTGTTCAGCATAGAAAAAATTTGCAGGCTTTTTATGAAGGTCCTGAGGTTGGGCCCAAGCCCTGGCAGTTGGCCCACCAGATGATGCCTCAACAACCGGGACCCCCTTATCCTCCTCAAACAGGAGTTATGCCCAAGGGAAATTATGGTGGACAGGGATACATCGGTGGATGGGAGTACAGACAGATATATGATCAGACTAAGGATAATTATCAGATGAGTAATATTCATAGCAAGGCAGATATCCCGCATTACGATCGTGAACGTAAGTCTCAGGTGTTTCATTGTTATTTTATATTATGGATTAGTTCATTAATTTCGCCAGGCATTAATTATTCGTTTGTAGTTCTTGATTAATTAGTGCATGATGCGAACGGATCGGTTCGTCAATCAACGATTAATTCTCATTTCCGGATCTGAAGCGTTCATTTCAATTAAATTATTTGATTTGTTCTATTTCTGTTATTCTCAGAACAACCACATATATTCAATCACAAACGACCAGGAATGCTTCCAGAAAATGTTGAAGGGTGAGTTTGAAGTGGACCGAAGAGTTTAAAGAAGATTGGGTTGAAGTTACTCGTGTTTGATTTTAAATAGAGCTGGATACGTGGAAGCTGAGCGGCCATACGAGTCCTACTATCAAGTCCAGAATCACGCAGGCTGGCAGCAAATACCTCCCCAATTGGTTCCCATCGAACCAAAATTTCCAATAGTGCCAACGCCATCACCACCGATGCAAAAATTAGAGCTGCACCCAGTTCCCCAGGAGCAGGTGAAAAGTTCGCCAGTACCTCCTCCCACTCCTCCAGTAAATGACTCTCAATTACTCTGTGTCCCCAGGGAATCCAAAATTCTGAATACGAAATTTTCTTTTCCAGCCACTTCCAAAATTAGATATCCCGACAAAGTCAAATCCCAGCATAAAGAAGGAGTTGAAGACTCAGAAGAGCCTGTTCACTTCGCTTCCCAAGAAAGCCGAAGTGACTGTTGAGAATCAACCGGCTGTGAAGAAAGACCCTGAGCCAATAAAAGAAACTGTTTCACACTCAACACAAGAAGAGCATCATACAGAGGAAACGAGAGTGCATCATTTTGTGGCCGAGCATTTAAAACAGAACAATCATAAAGACAGTGAAGTACTGAGACCGAGGGGTGCAGTTATATCACTAGCACTTGGTTTAACAGTTACAGCGATAATGGCAACACTGATTGGGTGCAGACTGAAGGCTGTGAGAAAACGTGGACGACGGGGACATGGACCCTTTGCTCACGATGCAGATTATCTTGTCAATGGAATGTACCTCTGAATAAATATTATTACATTTCATCGACATTACATTAATTCATTTCTATCACTCCAAACTAAAAGAAAATGCAAACATATTTATTCTTATTATTCCTTTCCTTCAATTTTCAAACGAAGAAAGAAGCTCTCGGTTAAAAAAAAAATTAACAGCTCCATGTATTTCAACAACGTATACAATGTATAATTTATTGTGCAGATTATGATAAAGCAGAAAGCTCATGCAATTCGTGTGTCTAATCCAATTTATTCGATGATGAAAAATGGCTAGTGAATGAGCAGGAGAGAGAGAGCTCATTAAAAAAAAAGAAACAAAAACATATGCGTTATGAGTAAGTTACACAGTTTTCTTCTATTTTTAAATACAATATATTACAGTGAAACACACAGTTATAATTTATTGTTATTAATTATTATTCTAAGTAATGTTTTTTTGTCATATTTTTTTTTTCATTTTTTCTTTAATAATTACCTTACGCTTTATTATTATCAATTAATCATTGTAATTACCATAACGCTGGACCTCGGTATAATGTGCGAGGCAGCACAAAAATGGTGTAATGGGAGACTAATAGCGTTTATATATTTTGTTTCCTTTTTCATCATTCGTGATTCGATTTTATTGGGACAATTGTTCAGGTCAGCTGTGATTTTGCACAATTGAGGGTAGATCTTGAAATTCCTCATGATTGTTAATTTAATCCCCAGTAGCTGTGCAACAGTAACTGTGATACTCGGTAATAAATAATTAACATAAGGATAGATATTATGCTACCGCGGCAGTGTGCTCCCCTGGATTCCTCAATGCTCCTCAGGAGTGTTGACGTCTTCGTAATATTTTTAGTTTTCTTTTCCTCAATCTTATTCCTGTTGTATACCACTTTACGATTTTTATGACGATCTAATCAATGAAAGGGGCGGGTTTCTCATCACTATAATAAGTAATATACTACAATGTCGATCAGCCGTTTCACTCTGCCGACAGATTAATACGTCTACTTAGTGACGATTATATCAACAAATAGCATTTGCACTTGAATGAAAATTCATTCGATTTATCTTCGTTCTGCAATATTACAAGATAATCCTCTTTAAATCCTCATAATGTTTCATTAAAATTCATTTACCTGCCTTTTTCACTCGCCTCACTATAATAATATGAGTATTTGAATATGCTGCTTTGTCTGACCATACTTAAATACAATTACGTTTCTTCCACATTTCTTCTTTTTATTACTTTTCATCTATTCCGCATCTTCTCAACTATCGATAAATGAGGAGATGAGGGGAAATGGATTGAATAAAATCATTCAAAGGAGAAGGTTCCTGGAAGTGTATAGTACATACAAGTAAAACTATCTAAAAAAAAGATGAAAAAAAAAGAATGAACATGAGTACAAAAACCGCTTCAAATGATCCGTGTTCCTATTAAAAGTCTCATATACGACAGCTTGAAAATTTTAATAATTCCGTTGAATTAATGATGTTGCTTTAGCATCGTTCTATTAATTTCCCGATGTATCACTCACACGAATACCTTGGCAAGTGCGTCAGCCCCAGCACTGGCGATGAACGGTAACGAGGGATGGAACGCAACATCGAGAATACTCTCGTCGAATTTCTTGCGGTGTGCTGTTATTTCTTGAACGCAAGTCTTGTTGTCCATATTCCATAATCTTATGCTGCAGTCGTGACCTTGATCATTGATAAGAGGAATAAAATGGCGATTAGTGGTGCAGATAGAATGAAAATCATACACGATTTGAGTAGAGCAACGACAAAGTTGCGATTGATGAGCATTTGAACACTGGGATGCAGTTAATGGGATAATAAAATATAATCAGCCTGAACACTTACTGCCTGAGAGCAGATAAAGACCATGAGGATCAACAGCAAGACTAGTTACAGCATCCAGGTGTGCTACCATAGCGTGAGCCAATGTCGCTGAACGATGGTCATAAAATCTTATGTGACGATCCTCGTGCGCTGATATTATCAGGGGTTGGATGGGATGGGCAACGACACGGTTAACACCTCGGGTACCACTACCCTCAAGTCTTGCTACCACTGAGCCAGTCTCTGCGTCGAATACCACGCAAGCTCCGTCGTAAGCGACAACTATTTTATGAGACTCGTCTCTGACGAAGTCCACCGAGGTGGGAGTTCCATCTGCAATGCACATAACAATTTCAAATTACTTTTTTTATGAATTCATTTCACGTGCCTAATAACCAACGGCAAAGGGTTCTTTCGACCTTTTGCAAATCCTCTTTCAAAAGTTTTCTGAGGAAGAATTTTTGGTGTTATAATGTTTGATGTTATTATATTCTTGGAGGATAAAAAAAAAACAAGATTTTACCTTGTTCAGAAGAGTACGTGTTGAGCAATGGTACTTTGTTAGGTGGATTCCAGAGCTTGACAGTTCCATCGGCACTGGCCGACAACAACTGTGATCTTGGATGGAACATGCTGAGTCCCCAGACAGCATCAGTATGACCAGTCAGCGATTGGCTGAGTACACCAGGCTCATATGAATCATATGGATCGATATTACCAGCTGGCACCGACCAGCAGTGTATCATCCCGTCGAGACCACCTGAGTAACAGCGACTACCAGTGCTGCACATCCCTAAACATAAAACTGGCCCTGTGTGGGATCTGAAGGTGTAAAGGGGCTCGACGTCCAGAGACGCTGATTTTTTCGCTGGCACTGTCTTCTGCAGATTCCAAAGCTTCAGTGTGTGGTCGTCCGACGCTGTTATGAGGACTGGGTCCTTTGGATGGAAGACAAGGGCTCTCACGCAGTCGAAGTGAGAGCGCAGGGTGTACTTCGCATTCCATGTCTTTCTATACGTTTCTTTTGTTGCCGCCATCTGCAGACATTTAATTACCATTTCAATTTCCTTTTTATTTGACTTGAGTATCGCCCAATGGGTGATTACTGGAGGCTTTTAAATAATTATTATAATTGTTAAACGCAGAAATGAACTCTCGATCAAACAAAGTCAAATATTTTCAATACAAGAGTTTTTCCTTCTGCTCCACTCACAACAGATGCGATTTGAGTGGATTATAGTTGAAAAATAATTAGTATTTACATCGTATGTGACATCAGCATCATTGTTAACAGTTAATTGGGCTAATTCCCCCAGTCCTAAAGCTGAATCGCTCTCCTCCCCTGGGCGCTGAGGGTCTCGTTCCACACGCATTGTGTCTGTTGGAAAAAAAAAATATTATAGTGGTTGTCCCTCAAGGAATTTCAACGACATCGTCTCACCAGTATATTTGGGAATATCGTGGGGATGATTAATGTGTGAGTCTTCAGTTTCCGTAATAAGATTTAGTTCGTTCAAAACTTCCTCTGCCTCAGCGTCAACATCCTCCCCCAGCATTATGGATGCCTGAGAATTTCATTGTAGTATCAACAAAGTTTTCCTAAAGTTTGACAGGACTGAGGAGTGTTTTCAGAAGAATTTCAAGTAATTATTGGATGAGGGAGAACTATTCCACTTCAAAAGAATGTTAAGAGATTTTGTTGGGAATTCAATTTTTAACTGAATTTTATTTTCAATAAGATAAGAGTTCTAATACGATAATTTTCACAGAAAAACTTTAAACAATATATTTGATGTAAAATTTACACATTTTCCTTTTTTCAAGTCTGATAAATACCTTATTTTGTTTTGGCTCAGCATCGGTATCGTACGATTCGTCCTCCACTTCGCCCTCTTCCTCCTCCATGTCGATATCGGTGTGAGCCAGAAATTCAAAATTTGCCATGACAGACGCCTCGGTGTCAAGGATCATTGCCTCGGTGAGGGAAGCCGCCTAGAGAGATTGGTGTAACCGTAAGAAAGTGAAACTAGGCATTTCACAATTAAAAAATATTGAAAGAATAGAGTGCATTGAATAGTCTAGGTGTTCGAAGCCTTGTGGTGGTAATGAAACGATTAAATCGAAATAAATTATGACACTGCGCCAGGTTCTGTCACTGGGTTCATGTTCAAATTAAAACACTAAACGAGTTTCCACTGATTATTGAACTTATTCTGTTCGGGCAGCACAAATATACATTAAATAAAAATTGACACTGACATTTTGTCTCGTAACTCTTCATACTATACCTACTTCCTTAGAAATGTGAAACTATTAGGGATGCAAAGATAAAGTTCATTGAATAAAATACCGTATTCGCAGTAAATAAGAAAGAAAAAAAAGAGAAAGGTGGAAACAGAAATGAAAAAAGTAAATATCGCCAAAACAGGCGTACCAGTTTACGACTCATTGCATCCAGTTATTGACTTTCGTGAACCATTTGCAACAGAGAAAAAAATCACAGAGAAAAAGTCGTTGACTAAGGGCATTTCAATGTTTTCAACTGCCATCAGTGATTCAGTCCAAGTCAATGATTGGAATCGAGACGCTGAACCAGTACACTCATTGTACAACGAAGATACACCTTTTTTGCTTTCCGCGTCGATCCACTCCCTCCATCCCTGGACATATAATAACGCTTTTTCGTTGGTCCGTTACCATTCAATGCCGGCGTATTCATATCATCAGAGTCTGTATTGTTGTTTAATCCAAGTAATGATCTCACTCTGTTTGATCTCACATCAATTATTGTGTCGGTGTATCCAATTTCTTGCAAATAGCTAGTAACACAATTAAAACATTAATGTCATGGTTCATGGCTTTCTCTGAAGACCCGTCAGTGCTGGGTAAAACATTTTCATCGATCATCATACGATAAAATGCTGAGAAAACATCATCACCAAGATAATGATAGTAGTCTAATATTCAAGAACGTGTAAAAATGTCATTATTTAATGACCAAGAGATTACAAGAAATGTCAGTTATTCGCATGGGGCTTTCTTCAACGTTGACTCATTTGACATTTGCCACCTCGATGATAAAAAAATCCAATGGCTCACAACAGCACTGACAAGTAAATTTCATAATAATTCCTAAACCACGATCTTACTCTCTTAATAATCGCCGCCCCTGGCTCCACGTGATATTACTGACAGATGAGAAAGGAGCTTCCCCATCTCCACCACCGCCCTCCGAATTATCTCCAGTGTTCGACTCCTCATAAAGTGGTGGTTTCCCATCATCCTGTATTACCAAATCTGTCCCATACTTCAGTATATGATACTTTGCCCTATCAAAAAAAAATGTATTATTTACAAAACCAGACGCACCGAACACCGATAGCTCTATGAATATCTTACCTCTCCTGCTTTAGAGCGTACTCGAGCATTTTTATTCGTCTCACTAGATCATTCTTTAAATTTTCCTGAGCCTTTCTTTCCCCCTGGAGGAAAGCTATTCTAGCCTATAATAATTCAGAGAGAAAAAAAAAACAATTATCGTGACGCTCTGCTGATATCCATTAGAAATCTCACTGATCCTTCATTACGCCTTAGAAAATTCAACATATAAATAAATAATACAGTTCCTATCTAATCTCTCCTATTAACAGATCTATACTGTTCTAATGATACATCTCAACAATGTGGTAATAATACCACGTTGAAAGGATCAGTTTCACTCTAGTGTACACAGATCTTATCAACTCAGCAATTTTTTTTTTCAGATTCACGAGTATCTTGCACACTAGAATTTCACATTGAAATCAACACAACAGCAATAACTCAATTAAATGGCCTACACCAGAACAGTAAAAATAATCACCAAACTCCACCGATTTCAATGATCGAATAAATAAATAGACTATCCTGCACAAGCTGGATGGTGAGTGATAAAAAATTGACACCCGGTAGACAATTCCCAGTATCAATTGTCTAACGTCAAAAATTCTCATCGTCAGTGTCACTACTAAGAACTCCCATAGTTTCCAAAACGAAAGCCCCAGATTAATTTCTTATTTTCACAATGAAGACACAATTGACTGATTCAATTAAGATAAAATACCTGAAATTCAGCTCTGTCGAGTTCCCACTGTGATCTGTCAAGCTCAAAGCGGGCCCACTCGTGTTGAATAAAGTGAAGAATACCAGGCATCGAGTACTGTGGTTTTTGGTCTTTGGCACCATTGCCACTGGCATTATCACTGTTCTGATGTTTATCGTTGCCAATTGATACATTAGCACCGGACGACAATGGCCCGTTGTGATTTTGCGATACTGAACTGGAGTTATCCTCCATTATGGGACCGCAACACTGGCTGGGTACCTTCATTTCATGACACGGCGGCCATTACAGCAACTGTGCCTTTCTTTCCCTCTCCCTCTGGATTTTGTCGCCAGAGGCAGTCCGTTATATGTGTATTACTCTAGAGCCCTTTTTTCTGTTTTTTATATAAAACCCCTTACGGCTTAATATGCCTCTCCAACTGTCTCGCTGGTGTACTTCACTCGTTCACCCCTTCACAGGAGAATCAATTTATTTATGACAATTGGAATGTTTCAAGGGAGTAATTTTTCCGCAAGTCTTTTCGGATGATGTTGACACTTCACAGGAGCAACTCCAAGTCACTCAAGGCGACACGATAAACTTGACGTTTTTTTTTTAATGGTAATTCAATCGACAGGGACCCACCACTATTAATACAGGGGCTTGCAGGATACTTTATCCGTTTGTGTTGAGGGAGAACTGAAGTGTGGAGGGAATAAAGAAGTGCCATTGGTCCTTGCACCGGCGATGGACCAATCCCTTGGGAGGCAACACAGACGCTTTTCGAATTGTCGTGATTACGAATGGACTCGATGAAAACTGAACCCAAGGATTCATTATTTGTTTCTATTTTTTATTAATTCATCATTTGTGATCGACATTCCGAGGGTTCATTCGGTTGTTTTATTCAGGTCAAGTTCGATTTCGTTCTAGTAATTGCTGGGAGTTGTTTTATTGGGGAAATTCGATATAGCCGGATATTTGGCACTTGAAGCCATTCTGATATGAATGAATGAATGAATGAAATCTCATTTTCAGGAGTGAAATCAGTCGGGCTTGGGGCGTGAATTGAAGATTTTTGAATGATTTTTTTTTAGTTTTGCAGAGAGTTGTGGGAGAGCTCTTTCTTGACAGATAGAAATCACTCAAAGAGGATTGGCTAAAGTAGAAACTCAGTTCTCGGTTTTTCATGCACCCCAAGAGAGCGAGGGCGCCACACGCAATGGGGGTGTCTGCCCGTCATCCGATTCTGTAACTGCCTCAGTAGCAATCTTCTTTGGAATTACCCTTGAATCATACCGGCTGTCTTCATCTGACGTGAGAGGACGTAAGTGTGGTGGACAGTAGTTACGACTCCATCAAGAGTGGAGGTATGATAGTGATTGGTGTTTTTGTACAATCTTTGAACCTTACAAAAAAAATCCAGTCAAGTGTGTGGCATCAATAAAAAAGAGGACCGAGTAATAAAAGAGAAGTTTGTAGATAAATTGTGAATATGTCTCTGTCGACAATGGGTCGGGATAAGGAGGTGGCAATGTGGTCTACTGTTGCTATTCGGATGTTGGTTAATACCATTTCACATCCACTTGAATATGCCAAAGTGTTAATTCAGGTAAATTTATTATTTATCCAGGATTATCATATTAGTACGTATTATTCTCTGTTGATTCGCTGTTCTAGATAGGACATGAACCCAGTGAACCTATAGAAACCAGAACACTTTTTGGAAAACCGGCACTGGCTCTGCCGAATATTTTTCAGTATGGTGAGTCGCAATGAATGGCTTTATTCGATTTATTGAATAATTTTATTTTTAAACCTCACTTTTAGTAAGATATATTAAAAGTGTGGATGGATTTGCTGGATGCTATCGAGGGTTGGTCCCAAACCTGTGTGCCAATGCGGTCAATACTATTGCAATCGGAAAGGCTATGGAGTCAAAATATTTCATCAAGTATTTCCCAGAGACTCAGGCGAGGAAAGACGAGGATATTGATGATTTACCGGATGATAAAAGGTAACAGCAAGTTTTAGAATTGACTAAACTATCAAACGAAAATGAGCTTTCAATATTTTATTTTCATTTCAAATGACTTGTACGAAAATTGAGTTTATGATTAATTTATGTGTATACCATGTTGTAAATTGACAACTATTGATGCAGGCGAGAGATCTATCTGAGGGAACTAGCTAAAGGTATAGCTTGTAGAATAATAGGAATAGTTGCAAGTCACCCATTGGATGTCATCACCCTGAGGACAATGGCCCAATTCGTTGGGGGTGAAAACAAATACAAGTAATGCATCAACTAACTCACGAAATCCACGGAGTAAAGATTTACAGAGATTTCTGTTCAATTGCAGTGGAATATTTGGATCAATTAGAGAAGTTTACCATGAGAATGGCCTATTGGGTTATTACGCAGGATTGGTACCGAGATTAATTGCTAATGTAACCACACTGGTACTTGTCAGTGCCTCAACGTACTTCGTCAACAAATATTTGATAAAGGATAAGGATCTGAGGGACTGCACTACAGCTACTATGACGGTAACTCGATTTTCGTCTTGTATGATTATATTTGTACGATGAATTATTGTGTTTACGATATTTTCAAGTTCCTCGCAACGACTGTCACCTATCCGTTCTTGGTTGTTTACCATTGTATGGCTGTTAACGATTGTGGGTGAGTGTAAAAAAACTCTGGGAAAATTTCTAGCGCAAGTCTATACACCAAATCGTGAATTTCGTTTATCATGGAAAACTAGAAGGAATAATGAGAATTTAATCTCTTGGAAAATTTAATTGATTTTTTTTTCGCATATGATTATAAATTATTGAAAAGTCCAATCAACTCGAGCTGTATTATCATTGACAGATTGCCAGCTGGAGTTCCCCCACGAATGCCCATTTATGGGAACTGGCTGGACTGCTGGAGGCATTTATCCTCGATAAATCAATCGAAACGTGGTAGCAGTCTCCTCTGGCGCTACTACACAGGACCTCAAACAATTATCAACGGACACCCAGTAGCTCTTACCAAAACTACCTTCTACAAATAACTTTCATAAATAACAATACTGTTCAACATTCACGAAGCGAGAAGCGAACATTAAAATACAGACTGCAGTCATTGTCAATGAATAAAACTAGACAAATTGCAGGAGTGATTACACGAAGTAATTTTAAAAATCCTTGATAAAAATGCAACAAATTTTTTTCTCACGTGTAACGTGTGTGTGAATCCATGAGATAGACTTCATGGAAGTGTCAATATATTTCGTGTTCTTGGTGATCATTGTAAAAAGTCAAATGTCAACTCGAGTCTATTCTTTATTATAGATAGAAATAAAAGCAGAATACAGTGAATTTATAGTTTCTCTATCGAAGAATGTAATTTGAGGGGTATTTCATGAGGCGGGGGAAATTGTCAATCTCTTCCGGTGAAATATGATCGAGTCTGACAGGCTGAGGTCTCAGCTGTTTTATTTGACTGCTGACGTTCTGCATGATATCCTCAGGAACATTATCGTCTGGATAGATGTGCAAACGCTGCATTGTGTGTCGTCTCTGTAGATTGCCTCTCATCGCAGAGTAGACAGCCTTCTCCATGATCATTGTTTTGTTCTTCTGGTGGAGCTCCCAGGCGAGGGTCCATGTGGCACCACCGTGGTAGGTATTGTGGTGGAAGTAAACCCTTTTAGTCCAATCGTCCCCTCGTAAGGCGATGTCTTTACTGTTTATCACCACTACGTGATCTCCACATTGATTTAAGGGATGGTAAATTGGTTTGTAGAGACCCTTGAGGTATTTCTCTATCAGGACAGCACTTTTGTACGGGTCTTGCCATTTTGCATCGTATATGTGCCAGATTTGGGCGAATGTCGCCCAATGCTGCTCTCAACAAAAATTTATTTCACAGTTACATTTTTCATTTTATTCGCAGACACGTGTCAATTAATTAACTTTATGAATGTTTTGGTATCCCAGATTGCGAGGTATTAAAAAAATTAGGATGTGTAAGGATGAATTTAGACTGTGACTTTTTGACTTCTTTGTTATTAAATATATATTGTTTGACAGGCCACAATCGTCTCACAGTTTTTATTTCAGATACAATTGAATGTATACAGGACTAGCCGCAAAATGTGAACATGCGACAACGTTGAAAATTTAATGAATTTAATGAATGAATTTTCTCTGAGTAAATATGCATTGTCTGCATACCTGGCCTCTCCTGACAAGTGACATGCTATACCTTCTTGAATAAAACTTTATAACAAACACTAATTATCAATACTTATGCTCCAGATTTTAAATTTCTGAAGAAATAACAGAGAGCAATGAAGATCTTCAAATCTTAAACCATAACCTCTCCAAAAATTGCAGTCGATAAAGAGGATTGCGATCGCTGATGCGCCAATTACGTAAATTAAATTTGAACTCGTCATAAAAAGAAAAATTATATTCTTGCTGCTGTTGATATTAACCTTATAACTATTATAATTGAGAATCCCTTTAATTATGAGTTGAGTGTGACATCATAATTGATCAAATCTACATAATCATGGGAATACAATTCGAAACCGATAAAACCACCAAATCCTGGGGCACCCCTGTAACGAAGACCGATTCCTTTCAGAATAGTAGGTGGATCTGTAATAACTTCTTGTATATCCAAGTAAGGAACAGTTGTCTGAGCTGCATCTTTCATCCAATCGGATGTTTGAAACTTAATCAGCCCATGGTCTTCCTTTTCCGGTGCATTCTTGAAGGATAGTGTAGGCTCATGAGGTTTATCAAGTTCTATCTCAATCCTGAAGAGTAAAAATTCCGTAACTTAAATTCACACTTCCATAAAACTTGCTGTAATGATTGATAACTACTTGTACCTAGTCGAGTTGTAGGAAATCTCGTTCACATGATTTAAATCGATGTCACCAGTGGCAAATTCGAAATTGGCAGCCATTCCTGATAAGACGACATTTCCATCGGAATCTAATTGAAATTTAGCACCTGCCAGAGGAAAAATTGATAATATATAAAAATTGATAAATCGGTTTCAACCGATTTTGTACTGATTTGTTGGAATGAAAAATTCCTACCAAGGAGAACCTGGTTTACTTCAGCATGCAATGCATCAAGAGTAATTCCTCTCCTGCGATACGATAAAGTGATAGGTTCAGTGAGACTGTTATTATATTCCTTGAGGACTTCATCTCGAGACTTCCAGTGTATCGTTGATGGATCAATGAATCCAAAGGAGCTCAGTTTGCCTTGTTGAATATCGATATGAATGATATTATCAATATTGACCAGCCGCACACCTGTCATGACCCTGTCAATGCAATTATGTCGTGAGAATTGAGACCAATCTGTTCAAGTAATTTGATCATACATGTTATCTTTATAATCAGTCGAAACAATTTCTGTGCTAAATTTCCGCAGAGTTTTTGGATGCTCGATGTCATCGCAAATGCATCTACATGGTCCAAGATCGTAAATTCCCCAATAATTCGGATTATTCCAGTCCAAATAAGTCCAAAATTTATTTTCCCTGCAATTGGTTAGATTTCCCATATTATCGGGATGCGGTTCCCAGGGGTGGAAGAAACCTGCCCTTGGATTATCTGCTGTAAATCCATCGAAACGTCGATTGGACGTTGTCTGAAATAGATTATATTTTCTCAATATCTCAGTAACCACTTGTTATAACAATTGGATTTATTTTTTCAATCCAATTCGAGGAGAAACCAAAGATAACATTTGATAGACAACACATGCGGCCACAGTAATAGTGAATAGTAATTTTGAAAAAACTTACTGGCTTACAAATATCTATCGCGTAAGACTCGAAGCACTTGTACATGAGTCCATAGCATTTCCAATCCCCATCGGATTTAATTCTCTCGTAAGGGTGATACGCTGCACCATCATCTTGATAATGATCGCAATCATACTTGCCAGTATGTTCTGCATTTGTATTCAATTTACTCACAAGAATTCCTTGGAATAACTTTTCCATCTCAAGATACGTTTCTCCTGAGGAAAAAATATCAAATAGAATCAATAATCCACTGTATTCACTGAAATTCTTCCCTGATGGAGTCATCACCTCTTTTGTGGACAGAAGGATCACATCTACGGAGTTTAGTAGATCCTTGACTAGCTAGGTTGTTTAAATTCTCGGTGATGCTATGGGCAGCCTTCTCATACTCTTCTTTTGTGAATCGCATCTCTGAGGTGAAATTTCCTACAAGAATTATTCAATTATTTCCACTGAATTGTTGCTTCTCTCATATTACTATCTACCTTGATCGAATGCACTGCGAATAGCATATGATTGCAAGATCACTAGATGCCCTTTCATTACAGTTTCCATGGTATATCGATATGATTTATAAATTATATCATTCAATGATTGTTTGTTGTTACACCATTCATGTTTTCGCTCCTGTTAAATCAGAATCAAATATAAATTCAAGTAAAAGCTGAAAATTATTATAAATATTATTGACTGCATTGATGGATTCATTATTATTGAATATTATTTTCAAATTTGGAATTACTGTTGAGATGACTCTTCCAGTTGACATGCAAGGGGAGAGTTTTCCTCTCACTTGATACAATTAAAAAAAATCATTCCAACTAAAGTCCTGAAAGTGCCGATATCTCGAAAACTGGAAGAGCACAGAGAATTTTTTTTATATTGATTTACCTGGTCAAGAATGTATTTCGAGTACAAATTCAGAAATCCGCGTTCTCTGTTGCTTGGTATAATCAATTCAATGAACTCCCGCAGGTAATTCGGCAAATGATGATCTGCCTGGCCAGTCGATTCCTTAGCAAACTCCAGCAGAGTGACGTTTTCAATGGAATCCTTTTCTTGTGAATCAATCCGTGATATGAATTTATAATACTGATAATTAATATAACTCGAGAGCCGATGGAATCGGTCCTGTAGAGTTTGCACGTCAGTCAGTAATGGCAATGAGTTCAACGTGCCCATCATGTCGTTGTATTGAATGTGCAATAATCCTTCTAACTGTTGCATATCTGAGTGGATCATTTTTATCTGGTCCAGAATTTCGTTTTGACTCGCTTGCTTCGGTTGAATTAATTCATTCAGAAGTTTTCCGTAGATATTTGTCATGCCGATTATTTCCTTCTCCTTGACCAACTTGAATTTTCTCCCTGTTTTTTCATCAGAATGGACCAGAGAAATCGAAGATAAAATGCAGATCACGATGGCCAGGGAATTCATCTCAACGAATTCGTTTCGATTTGCAGAAGATCCAGTGACTGCATCAATGGTGTAATAATTCGTTTTATATAATCGTGAGTATTATCTGTTTTTAAAGCTTGTAACATTGAAATGCGAATTAAATAATTTGGCACGTATCTGTATTTGTACAACGACTGGAGTGAAGACTTTCATTTGGATGATTATGATAAGGTCTCAAGTATCAATTCTGGGGAGTTATCAGGTGTCATGGAATGCCAGGGTTAGAGATATCGGAAATTTCCACGGGATCACTACCTTAAATAGCAGCGGAGAGTATAAAAGAATGACAAGCTTTGCACTTTCCTGAAATTGGCACTTAATTTGTGTCCTGATGAAGCTAAAAAGTTTTTTTTTACATTTTCTGGAAAACTTACGACAGGATCGACATGAAAGAATATATGTTCTGGGACTTCGTCATTATTTAAGGACTCTAGAAGTTTCAAAGTATTGAGAAGGAAAATTTTTAAAAACGTGAACGTGAAAAATAGCACTCCACATTTTTCAGACTGGGCGACCACTCCTGCCTCGCATGTGCAATTATTTTTTTTCATTATTGATTCGCAGAAATTTACATTAGGACCTCTGATACCAGGTAATTAATTCCGTGAAGGTAAATAACTTTTCAAGGTCTTTTTTCGATGAAAATGTACGTATATGAATCAATTGGAAGATTTATAATGATGAAAAAATCCGGGAAATCACAATATTTATTGAAAAAAAAACAAAGATCTTTTACAAGAGAAGAGAACACATATTCAAGGTTTTCTTGACTACGAATCGAGCTATCACGGCGAACATGAGTTTCTTTCAATATGTACAACGAAAAATCGAGGACAAATTTAGAGCAATCTATGACAAAATAAAGTTCAAAAATTCATAGTCGGGATCTATAATAGAGAGCATCACTTGTTTATATCACTTCACCTTCACTGCGCACTTGTACCAATTTACATTTCAAACGCTCAAACAAATAAGCTCACGTGAAAGAATAATAAGAGGTACAGTTATTTTTCAGGTGTCTGTACGGAATTGTAATTATAAACTCTGAAAAAATATGACATTCTACGTCTTTATTTAAATTTTTTTAACAATCAGTCGAAACTACTGAATTACTTATGGCAAAGAATTCTTTCTCGTTTGCACAAAATCAGGGAAATTTTCCGTGAAATATTATAACTTAAAGTTAGCCTGCTGGATCCAGAGAGATATATCTAGAGTTTTTGTAGAATCTGAACAAATATCCCATTCTAAATGTTTGCATCGATTGAAGTCCTCCAGCGAGTAATAAGACTGTGACTTCAATTAGTTTCAGAAAAACTTGAACAGTAGTGGGGAATCCATTCTCATTTGGAATTATGGATTTATAAATGTGATTGGTTGAGGATTCGGCTCTATGCCGTCATGGATTGAATAAATTCGCTGCCTTGATTGCTCCGATCGACTAGTAGAGGCAGTCTAAAGAATTTTTTCAGACGTTGATATTGTCAAGACGTTTAGGGACTATAATGCGCACAGTCACCTACAATTGTCTACTTTTAAGTCTCCTTCTAATAAAATCTGATGGAATAGATTATAAGTTTGTAAATGTGGTGAGTAGCATGATCTAGTAGAATATTAATATATACACTGAGGAGAAAAGCGTCGTATTTACGCGATTAATCGTCAGTCATCTTCTGGTTCTTTTAATTTTAAATTTAATTTTCCCACTTTTTATGTGATTTCAACCAAATACGATTTGAGAATTCCAAAAATACAATTTTAAAACATCTCTAATTGAGCGCTAGGGTATCCGTCAAATTAAATCATTTTTTCATTATTGATCGCGAAATCGAGTACCAAATATTTTTTGTGAAAACCCAAGTTTTAATTATTTTTTAATAATTATAAACGCGAAAATCGTCTTAAGTAAATGAAAAATCATAGAAAAATAATTGACGCGATTTTTCAATTTCAGATTTTCCGACATGGGGACCGAACTCCGCAGAATAATTCCTACGAAATATTCCCTACAAGCGAATATGCGAAATACCGTTTTGATCCATATGGTTATGGACAACTGACCAATGTAAATTTCTTCAATTACGATTACCATAAAGAAAAAAATCAATGTGCATGATTTACGCGTAATTTGTGCTTTAGATTCAGTTTTGAATACGATTTTTTAAAAATATTTTGTGATACAAGTTCGTTTTCATTGTGAATTTTTATATTTTCCCCAGAAAGGGAAGCGAAATGCCTATCAACTAGGCATCGACATTCGTGATTATTATTCTCAATTCTTGAATGATCTATATCACCCAGAGGAAATATCTGCACAGAGTTCTGACGCTGATAGAACTAAAATGTCTTTGCAATTAGTGATGGCAGGTATATTTCCTCCCTCATCGGCTCAGTCGTGGAATTGTAAGCTGAACTGGCAGCCTGTTGTAACGAATTACATACCCCGTGATGACGATTACGTCTTGAATTTTCTCAAATGCCCCAAGTAAGCTAGAATTTTTATTTCCTGCGATCAATACAGCACTGAAATTTGAATTTTCCAGTTTCAAAAAGGAACACGACGCTGTGAAAAAACTTCCCGAAGTCGTCGAAAAAGTTTCGCAATACAGTACGTTTGCAAAACAGCTCTCCGAATGGACGGGAGTTCCAATTACTCCTACGAAACATTTCGTGCAAATTTATCATGCTTTAACAATGTTAGATCATATGGGATTCGCATCTCCTCATTGGAGTAGTCGGTTTTATCCCGAAGGTCTTCTATTAGATGGTGTAGCTCTCGATTTTGAAATTTTAAATTATAATGAGAGATTGAGAGCTTTAAGTGGAGGTAAGCATTCTCTTATCACGAAATGATTAACATAATCCACAGCGGAAAATCTTTTTTTGAGAATTTTCGTTTTGTTAAAAAGCACTTTTTTCTTCACTTATATCGTAATGTACTATTTTACGCTGGATTGTTATTAATTATTTCAGGAATGGTTTTGAAGAAGTTCATCGACAATATGGTGGCAGCTGCTGATCCAAATTCAAATTCGCGCTTGAAAATGGAGTTGTTTAGTGCTCACGAGGTCAATATCGTTGCCATTTTAAAAATTCTCGGTGTTTATGAAAAACATTTTCCAGATTATTCTAGCGCTGTGTTCGTTGAATTGCTGAAGGAAAATAATGAATATTATGTCAATGTAAGTTGAGGTGCGGAATCGTCGCCCGTTTAATGATTAATGCTCACTAATTTTATGATTATAGATTGACTATTACTTGAACCCCTCATCGAAGAGAATTCATCTACCTATACCTGATTGTGAACCAAAATGTTCCCTGAAACGTTTTATAGAACTGTTCAAAGATAAGTTACCTAAGGCGGAAGATATGAAGTGTAAAGTGTGATAATAATACTGGTAAAAATTATGTTACATGGATAATTCATCCTCAAATAAACGGGGAAAAACCAATCCCAGAGAATTCTCTGAATACAATTCATATCTGAGTGTCAGTACTCACAGTTGTTGTTGGATAACTCCCGGCTGGTGCTGAAGTTGCTAATTTCAGATAAAAATCGAATTGCATGCACTGGTTTTTTCACAAGAGTTAGACCAAGTCCCTTCCTCGTCGCCAAATTTTGTTGGATTCCGTAGAATAAAAAGTACACTGAAGTAACTTTAAAATTAACTAATACTTTTATTCACGAAAATATATATATAATTAACAACTAGTGAGTCTTGAGGTACTCTGATTCGAGCAATTCCGTCTGGATTGTACAGAGGTTCTGGTCTACTCGTTATCTTTGCTAAACTAATTCTGTCTTAAAATATCGAAGTTCCCTTATTTAAATGTGAACGGCTAGGTTTGTGACGTCAATAGGGAAATTGGAGTTGATTGAGGAAAGGCCCAAGGTATCATTTATCGAAGTGCTTAATGATTATCAATGAGTCCCCTGATGAATCACTCTTTCTTATACCAGGGCCCGGCAACCTGGGCTCGTTAGGGCTCATTAGATTCTACGTGGTTGACGAAAATATCGTCACCACTGGGACTTACTGATGAGGGAGTTTAATGACACTTACGCACACAATGGTTGGGTAATTGGGTACCCATTAGGACAAGAGGATTATCCCTACCTTTGTAATAGGCTGGCTCCCAACTACCTGAAGGTTGCCGGGCCCTGTCTTATACTGCATTTTGTTGAGGAACTACGTGAGTAACAATGAGAATTTGTTGGGGAACTACGTGAGGAATAAAGTAATTATTCTAAATTGTTAGGGAACTACCCGAGTAATAAGATGGTTTATCCTTTAGAAATAATTGAGAGTTGGGGTATACAACAATTCCACAAGTTTTTTAATGTATGCTCTCCATTCCATCCACATGAATTATCAGCATCAAAAGATGTGGAAAAAATTGAAGTTTACTTTTCATGTTTTACTTTGAAAACTGGAATTTCTTTCTGAAGGATTGATAGAATAATCTAAAATACATAAATTCGGAATATATTAATTTGTTGAACTATTTTATTAATTAAATAAAATATCGTCTGTGAAGGGCGAAAATGACAGACTTAAACAACAATATTGAAAACGAAAAAAATTGAAATTAATGATCGAATGGTATTACTGTTTCCGCACGTGTCCCAGTTATGGATCGTGTTGTTTTTCTGATCCCAGAATTACCCACACAACATGGCTACACGTGTTTATTCGGCAATATATAGTAACAAACGTGAGAGCTGTGTCAGTGAAAATTGTAAATGGAGTGCCAGAGGCGATGGTGGCGCCAACCTTGAGCAACTAATCCGCCATAAAGTCCGAACACCCTGAGGAGAACCTGAGGAAGTGCAACGTCGATTTTTGCAACTCGATGTTCCTCGGGTGAGTAAAAATCATTAATCTTACTCATACCCATCAGTCCCTCCTCAATCCCCTCCATCAATTATCATCAAACACTTGAATGATTGACTTTAATCATTTATCTGCACCCCATGTCCCACCTCAACTCCTGGTGATCGTCTTGATATCGTCCCCCACCACGATAACATGCCGCACGCGCAGGCCACTAGCTCTTTTTTTTTCTCCTCATTTTTCCTAGCGGCTGTATCAAAAACAACATGAAATGAAATTGAAAGAAAAAGAAATTCCACTTAATTGACTAAGAGCCCTTCTGCTCTGTGAACATTGTCACGTACGCGTCAGATATATTCTTAGACACATTGAAAACAATGCACAGTTGATTTATTCATTGGCCAATGATACTCTCTGAATACCTGACTGAAATCACTGTAAATGTCAAATTATTAATGCGAAGGATTGTAACGATTTGTCGGATTTTGTGGTGTCTCAGGTCCAGTGACATTGATCCGGGGGTGGCCAATCAACAGGATCAACAGATGGCGAAAATAACTTCCAGCCATCGTCAACCTTCAAAGACCAAAAATACTGAACAATAGAATTTAATTTATGTCGAGTGGAAGGAAGAATCATAGTCGGGATGAGTGTCAACAGTTCTGGTGTGGCTGATTTTTTTCACATGCTCGAGTCCAATAAGTTGAGCGATGTGGAGGAGATCAAGAAAGTTTTTCACGATCATTTTTTATCCAGTGAGTACATTCGTTATTTTTGGGAGTGATTTGAGTAGTGAGGGATTTGTGGAAATGTGTCGAACTGGGGATGTTTCATGACATTGGTTTTTTAATTAAATAAATTATAGTTGATAAATGAGCTGTGGATCAGAATTGTAGGGTGAATTTATTTATTGATTCTAGTGGAAACCCTCCATCAAGGTCGTGATTAGTGATAATTAATCAGTAAGAGGATAATTAACGATTTTAATTGGGAATATTTACGATTGATTTCAATTTCATATTTTTCATTTTGCTTTCATCATCAAATTGTTTAATATTTTCAGGAAATATCTCATTGAACTTTGGGATATATTGGTAGCATATGCAATATATCTCGATTTACGGACATTAATCGGAGGTAGTACGTACGGTTCATAAAGTACATTAGCAAAAAGACACAAAAATTGTCTAGGCATTGATTTATCAGATGAAAAATCTCCACGTAATATATTGTCGAATAAAAAAAAGATCACCATCAAAATCTAAATATTCAATTTTTCGTCGTGTGAATTTTATCCGATACTCGTAAGTCCATAAAATAAAATGAATTCTATGAATTCTAATGAAATTCCTGGACGATTTATCAATAGCAAAAGATAGCTGGTTGGTCAATGGGCTCTTTGATTACTACTTATCAACGGACTCCCTGCGTACGATTGAGGTACTCGCGGGAGTGCGTGAGCCACATGATAAATATCTCTTGGATCGTCTCTCGGATACATTGGCCAGGCCCAGTAGCAGTGGCCAACGTTTGAAGGTACTCACCGTTCTTGGACATGTTGCCAGAAGACAGCCAACCCTTTACAAATTGGCCAATCATCCACTCTTCAGAGAACTACTCAAACTGCTTAAAGTTGATTCTGAGGCTTTGTCACTCATGAGTGGGCTTCTGCTGCTTGTGACATTACTGCCAATGTTACCAGCTGCACTTGGTCCCTATTTGCATGAGATATTTGAGGTATTCGGACGTCTGGCCTCATATTATCATTTCCAATCCTCTAATCTTGCTTCTACTATTGGCAGTGGAAATAGTATGGATAAGGATCAACTTTATTTACTGCATCTACAGGTAATTTCAAAAAATATTATTTTGCACATCATTTAATTAATATGTCTAAGTATTTCATTTTTAGATAAACGATACCATTTTATTTTTTTTTAATTTGCGAATAAAAATAGATTCTACTAGATTTGCCCTATAAAAATTTCACCTTTCCATAACAAATAATATTTTTCTCAGGTTGGATTGTACAGTTTGTTCCACCGTTTATACGCGATGTACCCCTGCAACTTCATAGCTTATCTGAAACAGCAGTACTCCCAGAGGGATCATGATGTTTTTAAATTAACAATTAAACCGATGCTGGAGTCTGTGCGGCTGCATCCACTACTCGTCACTGCCTCTAAAGATGTAGAGACGAATGCAGCTAGATGGAAGAAAATGGAGCACCACGACGTGGTGGCAGAATGTGGCCGTTTTGCTCTTGACAGGAGTAGAGAGGAGATATTGGCACCCATAAATCTTCGTGCTACTCCAATACCAGATCATCTGTGCCCTTATACGCCAGTGAGTGTGGCAGAGGGATTATCAGGGACAAGGACTACGAATGGAGATGAGGATTCATTCTGGTCTCCCAGCATGGCCATTCCTCCTCACAGTCCACCCCCACTGTCAGCCCCTAGCCTCGAGCCTCGATCTACACCATCAACCCCCAATAACAACAGAAGCAACTCCTCACCACCGGAAGCAGCGGTTGAAGCAACACCTGAAACAACTCCTGTTAAAGATATTCGACAGGTCTCTTCGCGACAGCCACCTCTGGGCTCAGCTGCTGTTAGAGCCCTGGGGGCCTTTGGGAATGGATCGTTGACTGGAAATTCAAGACCATCTACCCCAACTTTCATCAATTCCAATGCCTCAGCTTTTTCGGGAATCGGAGGTAGTGGAGATGGTGGAATTCTTTCGCAGAAAATAAATAGACTCGTTGCTGATCGTCAGAGTGTTCTCCAAACGCAGAGATCTTTCAATTTTGAAGGGGTTGGGAGGGGCTTGGAGAGCAGTCCAGGAAGAAATGGAAAAAATGATAGTTGGAAGGAGGATCAAGAGGTGGAAATTGTTAATTCCCAAGCTTGCAGATCCTTGACATTCCTAGAACGTCAACCGTACAATGATGATAAGGCCCGTGGTGCAAGAGGAGATCTATCAAAGAAAATAAAAAGACTGAGATTTTACTCCCAATGTCCCTCTCAACAGCCATGTCCACTCCCCCAGGAGGATATCTGTAACGTGCGAAGAACAAACTCCTGTCCAGACATGAAACCGCGAAAAAAGTTGAGCACATTAATGGATAATTTTAGGAGCATTGTTGGGGCCAAATGTAGTGAAGAAGTTGGAACACAAACATCCGACCTTATTCCTTATGAGCATCTGTTGGTTGGATTACTAGAGCAGAGGCATCATGAACAGCAAGCATCAAAACAGAGTGCTGAGTCGAGATTGTCTCCAAGCTCGATGCTTGATCGATATATTGAGGCTTGTTCGCGTATTAGTTCTTCCACTGGGGACAAAAAAAGACTCAGGAAGAAGGATGACGATAGGGACGACTGGATCGAGGACTTTGGGAGTGATAATCCACAGCTGCAAATGATGCAGATGCAGTTGTTGTTTGAACGACAAAGAAGGGAGGTTCATGCTGAGAGGAATAGAAGACTACTGGGAAAATTAAGAGATTCTAGGGCACTAGAAGAGCAGAATGCTGCATTGACTGATCGACTACGTATGGCGGAGAGCGAAATCGAGGGTTTCAAGGGTGAGATAGATCGCAATAAAAAGGAGAGCAGAATTGCTGAGGAGAGATATGCCGATGCTCTTCATCATTGGCAATCAAAGTGTGTTGAAGAGCAGAATCAGAATCGACTTCTCAGAGAAAAAGTTGAAGCAATCGAACTGGAACTGAAAAACGAGAAGAAGAGGGTGATTGAGTGTGAGCAACAAGCGAGATCAGCCGAAGCCTTGTTGTTCGATGCTGCACATCAACTGAAGTGTGCACTCAAGGCCGCAAGTCGAGGGGACGAGTTGAAGAGAACACTGGATCTCATGCACAAACGATTCCTACTCTTGGGAGAGGTGAATTTCCTCTGACAAATCTCAAATTTATAAAATGTATTTAAAATTAGTTAATTTTCCTTTTTATGGTTTTAGGCTCAATCAAAACTGCAGGAGCGTACGTCTGGGCCAGTTCCAATGTCTAGACAGGAAGCAGCACAGATACAGAGAGCTTACTCTGAAGAATTATCGAGTGAGTTCAATAATCAATAATCCTCTTTAAATCTTGTTTCTATCCACCGGTTCATAATGTCATTTGCCTTATTTGAAGGAATTTGTTTGAAAAAAAATGATGAAACACTATTGTCCTGATCTTTGGTTTAGATTTAAAACGCCAGTTAGACTCACGAACATCCATGATAGAAGCTCTGAGGGTTCGCCTAGTGGAGTTAGAAAGCCGTGAAACCCGTACAGAAGCACAATTGATTGACCAACAGCGTTTACTGCAAGAAGCAAAAGACAGGAATGAAGCAGAACTGTGTGCAGTTGAGTCCAAATACAAATCTCAAGTTGAGATAAATCTCCTCCTGGAGAGTCGTATATTGGAGCTACATGGAAGCCTGGAGGCAGCGACAATTGGCTCTGGCTCAGCAGCTGTGAATCTTGCCTCCTCTGCATCGCCGAAGGAACGATCGCCCCCTTTATCAGGCAGTCTGGCCTCTTCGAGTGAAGGTAGCCTGGCATTTCACTCTAGCACTGGTATAATCAGTGATTGTTGTGATTCTGCTGGTGAAATAGCCAATCTCCAGGCTATTGTCGAACCTGCCCCGTCAACATCGAGTCAAGCCACTACGCCATCACGTTCCAGTCATAGACACGTACCAAAACGAGACTAAAACGATTAATATTAGTGAAAGAAAAGAAATAATACATTGACGTTACGATGAAAATATGTTGAACTAAAGAAGAATGAATAAATGAATAAATTTTTGAAATTTTAAAAATTCATATTTTTTATTTTTCGGTGAAAATGAAAGAGTGAGGTATTGTTCTGAATAAAGTGGAGGAACGAATGGGATGAGTTATATCATTTTTATTCATTGGTTAATTATAAAATCGATTTTATTATTGTTACAGCTAGAATTTAATACGGAAATTGGGTGGGTATTTCCAATATTGTGACGTATAAAAACTTTAATTTCTTATTGCACTAAGAAAAAGGACAATTCCATTCAAATTCCTTATTTTTTAATACTGAACAACTAAGTATAAGATTTGTTTACATATCACACTGGGAAAATACAATTGACAAATATGCGCGATTTTGTTCAGTCCAGGTTGGGATTCACTCAAGACTATCTCCCTTCATTTTCAAGTTAAATTCATGTGCATGAATAAAGCAAATCAGTGGAAAATGTTTTGATTAAAAAATAAATCATTGTGTGAAACAATGATTTCGGGAGAAAGAATGACAAGAAAATGATTATCACTCAGACTGTTTCATAGAGACAATTCTCTACAATCATTGCACAATTATTGCCAACATATTTACATAATTACGAAAAAGGTACCACTTTGAACGTAGAACTCACGAGATTCTAAAATTTTTTCGTTCACTGTTATTTTTTCCATTTCACTCGTTCATCATAGAAACAAAAATGCATAAAGAAGCATGTGGTCGAGAAGGAAGAACACTTCATTGAATTCTACGAATTCCTAATGAAGCAGTAAAATTAGATAAGGAACGTGACACTAGTTTCTGGGGAATAATTCTAGATCAACAGATAACGAAATTTCAATATAAACGGTTACAGCTCTCACTTCATTCTCTTGAAAAAAAAACTGAAAATTATTCCTAAAATCATTCCTGCTCTAGGCATAAGTCATCAGTCCTCGAATTACGTGACTACATTTTCTAAACATTCGCCTCCTGAATCGTCTCAGCGGAAAATAAAATAAAAATAATTTCTATGGACTGATCATTACTTGGCATTGATTAAGGTAAAGCACCATTTGATCAACATAAAAATCTCGGACAATTCTTTCCACTGTTCGTTCAGAGATTCAATAAGTTTGGAGTTCTTGGCTCATGGTCATGAGAATGGCATCGTTAGGTGCGGCATAACTCGCAAGGTCTGGAAACAACGAATTTCTTATCAGTACAAAAAATTCATTCGATTTATGGTTTAATTGGTCGATTTGACTGATAAAGGGTAATATAATAAAATAATACAAAAAAAAAATGTGATTCGATTGTGATCCTAGGTTTTTCTATCATGCACTTTATTATTTGTGAACCATTTCGACAGCTGCTTTTTTTTCATAGAAATTCCACCACTTACGACTGTGACCCTGGTGGAGGGGGTAAGCTTTGGCTTTTTGCAGTAATAACTGGAGGATCCAGTAAATGGTGAGCCACACTAAGGCACCAATGGAAAACACCCGGAAGGTGACGATTCCACCATATGAACTGATCAACCAACCGCAGATTAAACTCCCTGATGAAACACCTGGAATTTTTTTGTACAATTATGAGTTCATGAGGGAATTCACGAGGAAAGTGAAGGCTGCGCAATTTTTAATATTCCATGGATTACCTAGGCCCTCAAAAACAGCCCCTACAAAACCCTGCATAGTTGCTCGTGTACCCGAGGGTGCAACTTTCTCACCATAAGACACCATTGTTGGCCAACAGAGACCCAACGTAGGCCCGTGGAGTATTTCAATGATCAAAAATGCCCACACATTCCTGACAAGACTATAAGCCATAAATCTGTAACGAATCGTAATTCTAATGTGAATTTTTTTGAATAAATTAGGTAACTCGACAACTTTTATTTAATTATTTAGTAGATGTGGGATAAATACAGAAACGAGGGAAAAAAGCGACTCAAGTGTTATTTAATAACTTACCTAACAGCATAAAAGAGAAGAACTAGACTCATGACATTGATATGCCCCAATTTTTTGAGTACTCTACCAGATATAAAATTGAATGGTAACTCGCCCAAGAAGCATTGTACTCCTGTGATTAAGCCTTGAATGGTTTTCAACCATTCAGTATCGTTCTTCACGATATCCTCAGTGTACCAGAACAAAAAATTCCAAACTACTCCAGTGCACATTCCAGCACCGATACACCAGAATGCGAATACTAGGACTCGTCCCTCTCTCGCCACTGACCCTAGTTCCCACAAAACCGAGGGATCATGATCTGTGTATTCTACAGTTTTCTGCAATTGTAATTCAGTAAAAAAATAATACAACAATTCCATCTCAGTTATAAATCTGTGAATTACGATTCAAACAGATTTATCACTCTCTTATTGAAACGTAATAAATTTTCACTTGAATTTAATGTACATATCTAGTTATTTTGCACCTTCTTTAGTGTTGCGGAGACGATCATATCAAATATCATCGCGATCAGCATTATGTAAAAAATGCATGTATAGTCTTTGACACCTTGGCCACGGCTGAATACGTCAACAAGGTATCCAGCGCTTATACCGAATATACCAAAGCCAATGCTACCCCACATTTTCTGTTTTCCATATTCTTTTCGGCGCTCATCACCTGAAATTACGAAGAACAAAGACCAATTAAACAGCATTCATCAGAAATCTCAATTGCATAATGATTTAATTATTTAGTTTCATGATAAACTAGTCGGTCTTTAGATCAAATAAGCATTCATCCAAATATACCAATTCCTCGTGAAAATATTAATATTTAATCTGACATAATCATGAGGTTAAATTCATGAAATATCGTCTTACCCAGAAGATCAAAGCAAATAGCATCAGCAATGCTGACAACGACAGCCATCCCCACCCAACTGATGATAGCAGCCCACAGAAACAGATGGAACTGATACGTCGTTTGATCCCCCGTGTCTTCATCAACTCTAGAAGATGCAGCATGAGCTTCTCGAAGTAATGCCTCCATGACTGTGACCCCTGGACAACTAGCCACACAAGATGTTCTCACCAAATTATTGCAGTAAAGTTTTGAAACATTGTAATGCTCCTTTAAAGAAAACGTGGCATTCCTCAGTCTTATGTCCACACATCTCATCAGGTCAACATTCCTGTTCATGTTGAACATGGCTGTGAAATTAATTCGCTCTTTCAAAACATCTGGATGATCCACCTTGGGACAGTATTCCGTGACATTCAAATTACACAGCTCTTTGTACAATTTCTCTGACGATTCACAGGAAAGTCTGCATTTTGTTTTAGGATCTCCATGATCGATGACATTATTGAGTGTCTCATTGGTGAATCCGGTACTCGAACAGACCTCGAGAAAGACAGCTGCATTGTCGCATTTTAATATCACGTCGGCTTGTACTGATTGTGTCTTCAATTCGACGGGAGGGATGAAGTATATCGAGAAGAATGCTATGGCGAGTATCGCTTGAAACAGGAGGAAAAAAATTTTGTGCAGGCGAAATCGATCTGCCAGGCCACCGAACAGAGGTTTTGCTATTAGGCCTGATATTGGGAGAATCGTGTATATCGATCCCACGAGGAAACCGGAGAAACCCAGTTGTTTTGCGATTGTGGGGAGGAATGGTACTATTGGTCCCGTTGCTAAAACAAAAATAAAGGGTTCATACAATGTTTCGGTAATTTAACCCATGAACTCATTACTCAGTTATCAGATGATTAATGGAGAGAATAAATCCAGGGAAATGATTGATCATTCTGAAAACCCTCTCTTATAAATAAATACAACTCGATCATTTAATTGTAATTGATTATACTACTCCATAATTTGTGAAGTCATTTAATTTGCTTCATTTCGGTTTAATGAAAGACAAAAAAACGAAGAAATATTTTTTGCTGATTTTTTCCATATTGGTAATCAGTGTCATGGTTGTCATATCATACCTACCAAATATGGAAATATCAATTCTGGGATTTTCATTATCTTAGGTGGAATGTCAAAATAGTTTTTCTATGATTGCTCGAATGTTGTCTGAAAAATGTATCATAAGACTTGTAGAGTATTGGTGAGACAATATAGCAATTAGCATGATGATATAAATCAGATACGAAATCTGGATGATTATATGGCCATCGTGGAGGCCGAAAGTTTTAACAAAAAGCGCCGACACGCGTTTTTGTTGCTAAAAAAAATATCCGTCAGTCGCTTTTGCGGGCTTTTTTCATTCTCAGAATAATCCTCGATTTGTATATTATTATTAAACGACTAGCATCGAGGAGGACGAAGAAAATTCATATTGATTGATTGATTAAATAATTCTTAGAAATTTGATAAAATAATTTCCCCTTTTTTTACATAACGAAAAAACATCATGCGAAAACTAGATTTTATTTTTTATGAATGATAAATTGACTCACCTGCATTGTAAAGGAAGTAATGCGCCTTTATAGGCACCAAATCCTTATTGACATTGCCGAACATTTTGTTCCTCTATTAACAAAAATCCTCAATGACAATGCTATCTGAAAAACGAGTAAAAACAGACATGCAACATGATCTCATGGAGTTTATTTATGCAGAGCCTGCAGAGATACAAAAGCTTCCTCAAGTGTATAATTTTTTTTGAGATAATCCATTTCGAACTTTGGCCTGTGCACGATGAATAGTCAATACTCTACTCGAATAAACGAAGAAACTATTTCTTAAATCACACAGAGGAATGTTAAACTAATTAGAAAGAGGCTTGGTTAATGATCTTTTTAAATAGAGAAGATCCACCCACTCTGTCATGGCATCGAAGATAATACGTCGAAGTCCTTTGTTTGTTTGATTTGTGGTGAAGCAATTTTTTTAAATAAAAAATCATCTCCAGTTAGACACTTCGATCAAGTGCTTGACACGTGGATAATAAGGTTCTTACTCACCACCTCGGTGCAGATTTTCGTTGGTGTCTCTCGTGTGTCAATCAACTGCTTGATATGCAGGTGTTTAAAATCATGATGAATTTTAAAGGGATTCGGTTTCGTGGGTTCCCGGTACTCAATAACCAGCTGATTGTGGTGAATGCTGAGGAGATGTGAAGTTAAGTGCGGGATTGTGTGGAGTGGAGTAAGAGTACAAGGTGATGAATGAAAAGAGAGAGGTAACGAGCCATTGGGAGCGGCACTGCCAATAACGTACGACGTCCAATTGCGGGAAAATAATATAATCCAAATATCATATTTTTCACATAGAAAATTGGATTCTATAATACATCTCGGGAAACCAGAATTATGGAATTATATTCCCAAAACCTACAAAAAGTGTCCATTTCCTCACTTGTACTTGTTAAATAAAAAGTAAGGAAGGGCATGTAGATATCTTCTCACTCAAGTTTCTTATATAATTTTTATTTAACTGATTAAAAATCATTATTATTATAAAATTAAATGTCAAATTGATAGCACCGGGAGAATTGTTTTTTTAATTATTCTATGAGGCAATGAATTTAGTATAATTTTGTATATAAAAAAAAATCGTTGAAGCATGATGTACATTATTATTAGTCATTTTTTTTTGTGTCACTTCGTTACTGATTTCGATATTGTGATGGAGATTAATAAATTTATTGGAGTATCATAGATTATGTCATATCGTCAATTATTGCTCGAGTTTATGTTATTGAGGGACGTGGGAAAATGAATATAATGAAATTCTTTTAATAGAATGGGAGTTCGTCTGCACTTCGAAAACGGTTGAACTTAACCCCCATAACTAGACCAATAAAGATTCAATTATTTGATGGATTGATCTCGAATATTTTTCGTTAAAGGCCGAACTTGATTGTTATTCTCTTTTATTGAATGGGAATTTCGCCCATTTGCACATGTCGCCCGCAAAATATTTCGATTCGAGTGCGGAATCAAACAGAGCATTAGTATTATTTTGAGCAATTAAAAAAATAATAATATTAGACTATTTTATGATTGATTAATACTTATTGAGTGTATGGATTAATTATAAAAACATAAATAATATTAAATAATCGAAGTAGTCGACGTGAACTGAAGTGATTCTAATTGTTATACTATTTGTTGACTTTGTTCAATAGTTTTTATTCCATCTGGAGCGTTTGAATATCTGACATCTGAATACTATATTCAAGTTAGAGATTAAATAGTGAATCAACAAATTATCTATAAATATTCAATGATAAAATCTGTTATAGTGAACATAGAACTTTTATGCTTTGATATTAATCCATGTGACTTTATTTCGTAAATTGTCTAAAAGCTCATTTTCACCTAACCTCCAATATTAAAATTCGTCTTGAACTCAAAGACATGAAGACAATTCGTAAATTAAGTGAGTATTCGATATTCGATTCAATTGTTCAAATTATTAATGGAGTCTCTATTTTTTGCCAGTATTTCTGGAATTTTTACATCGATAAAGACAAACTGAAACTGACTGGATTAAAAACAATACAATGCCGAGTGACAACAATTACGAATATTATAAAGTTCTCCAGTGCTCAAGAGACTCTTCCCAGGATGAGATAAAACGTGCGTATCATAGACTTGCCCTTATCCACCATCCGGATAAAAATTCAGCGAACAGTGAAAAATTTTTGGAGATTGAGGAGGCCTGGAGGATACTATCACAACCGAATTCGAGAAGAAAGTACGACGCAGAGTGCAGACAGGCGGAATTAGAATCAGAGAATATCCTAATCCACGAAAGAATTAGTTTAAAAGATTTGAAGACAGAAGATCAAAAACTGAGTTTTCCCTGTCGCTGTGGCAATAATTATCTCATTAATAAGGATGACTTCAACAATGATGACGAGACGGTTTATATTCCCTGTCAGGAGTGCACGTTCTTCATAGCTATCGACAGATGACAAAAATTGGTGATTTAAAGGTGTGACACACCTTCAAATGGCGATGACCTAGTACATAAATAATAAGAATAATAATAATGGAATAAAACTCGAGTAAACAGCGAGATTATAAAAAATTCAATGATTTATTCAACTAATGGCAATTGAACTACAAAATAATGATCAAATGAAGAAACTGAATTGAATGAAAATGAAAAGATCTTTATCGCCAAAATGCAGCAACATTTTCTATTTCTTATAAAAAATGATACAACAGATAACACATTATAGTAATATAAACTATTGAGCAATATACAAATAAAACGCGATCATTGGTACACCCACGTGCCAATAAAAAAGAATTCCTGAGATGTTTATCCATTTCTCCTTTCAACACATTCACATTCACGATTAATTAAATTCTAAAGGAAAAAAAATCATAATTCTTCTATCAGTCGATTTTACAAACAAAAGTGTCTAAAAATGTTTACCTGTGTATGTGTGAGTGTATTGCACATTAAAATACCACAATGAACAGTTGAAACTTGAATTATTGGCACGTGGAATTACTGACATGTCCAGTTTTACTTTTCTCCATTTAATTATGACAATTTCGCTTCGGTACTGTATTCTGTTCAAAAAATCATTGATTTAATTTTTTTAATATTGTTTTGTTTGAATGAACACGAGGTAATCGACAATTGGACATCGATTAAGAGATTGCTGGTACAGTTTGGCCATTTGCAGTGTGAAAATTACTCTTAATTACTTCTCTCCATTAGAATATTCGTCGTTAATTCTCGACACATTTCATCTTCGTTCAGTTTCGCTTTATCATTATATACAGTGACATTTCATTCGACACACAATTCAGTCCACTGACCCACCAACAATAAACGCGTGTCTCATTAATTTCCCCTACTCTTGTAAAAGAAGCTCGCTGATTAATTATTATTACAAATTACATTTTTTTTTTTCATTTTATTTATCATTAGAATCTTTAGGATTATAATTATTGCGACGGTCACGCACACGGGGGCAAATTGTTTATAAAAATACCATAATTACGTATGCAAGTGCCTAATTTGTCCTGAAACGACTAAAGTACAAGTAAAGTTCATTACTTCCTCGTGGGAAGGTTTTATGCTTTTTTTTTTTAATTTCAAAAATTGTGGTTCCAGACTCGTTTGGAAAAGGAGCCACAAGGCAGGAGTTTTAATTCTTTAATTAGACCTCTCATGATAGTGAAATTAATTTTCCGTTTGGCATACATAATATCGGTTATTTCCAGAGTAAAAAAGAAATATATTTAAAAAAAAAAGTAAATTGAATTATTTGAAAGAAATTCGTTCTAGTTTCGATTGGTTCGATTAACAGGTAAATGAATAGATAAGCTGCTTCGATTTGACTTTATTAATTAAGTGATCTTGAGTCTTGATCAATACGTCATTCTGGGGGGCTTTAAGTGGACGAAACGAATCACCTTCGTCCCAACGTACTACAAAAAAAATCCCACCTCAATTATTCTCACTTCATCATTACCTTTTCACATTAAAAAAAGGAATCTCTCGTGTGCAGTCTTATCACAAATCAGACCATAATTAATAATACATGAAACATTGTACAAGTAGATTGTTTTTTTTTTCCTTCCTTAATACGCCTACCTAAGTTGTTATTTACAAAATTTGAAATACCGTGACTGCGTACCGAGGCACGACGTGGTGTTGAATCATTATTCATTAGCTCAGGGATTTTATTATGCTTAAATGCTTCCATGTTTCAAAATTTTACCTCAACATCGAAATCAAGGACCAGTAGTTTTGTTTCCTCCGTGCCATTGCGACTTCCAACGGCGCATACGAGTTTAGTATCGCTAGCACGAATTCTCCAGACTACACCACCACTGCCACCACTTTCTAGAGCTACGAGATTCCTTATGAATTCACCTGTACAACACAAAATCAATCCAGACGATTAAAAAACATGACAAAAGGACAAAAAGACAAGGCCACATATGGTAATACGCAGTATTCTCACCAGTTTTAACATCCCACAACTTGACAGTGCCATCATCAGACGAGGTAATAACAAAGTGGCTGTTGAACTGTAGGCAAGTAACGGCAGATTGATGCTTGTGTGCACCAGAGAGTGTCTGAAGGCAGTGCCCACTGACAATGTCCCAGACTTTGACAGTAGAGTCAGCATTGCCAGACACCAGAATATTATTACGAAGTTCCATGCCGGACGTGAGAGACTGATGGCCCATCAGGGTGTGTCTGAGGGCACCAGTCTCGACTTCCCACACCCTTATGCTAGTGTCAAGGGAGCCAGATACCACGTGAACACCATCGAACTGCAAACGCAATCATCACAATATATAAATAAAAATTTTGTAGAGACAAAAAAAAAAATCACAATGGATTTCAGCTCACCTGAAGTGAATAAACCCTATTGGTGTGACCCTGAAGTGTGTGCAGGCATTCTTCACGCTCTGGATTCCAAACTTTAACCATGTAATCGTAAGCACCACTGACAACCAGTCTACCATCATATTGCACACATCTTACAGCTGCCAAATGTCCAACGAGTACATGCAGACACTCGCCAGTATCGACTTGCCACACCCTCAGTGTTGCATCTCTGCTACCACTCACGACTTTATTCCCATGCAGGTGCATACAGCGAACAGTTGAGGTGTGTCCATAGAGGGTATGAATACATTGGCCAGTGTCAGCATTCCATACTTTTAAGGTTCTATCTGTACTTCCACTTATCACTGTCGTGCCGGCCATCTGTGAGGACCAGACACCACCTGTGTGGCCCACTAAGGTTCTCAGGCACTATTGTCAGATAAATATTTCATTAATAATTTTTACCTTCTGTTCAAGTTAGTTGAATATATGGCTTTCAAAAAAATATAATACTTTACCTTTCCAGTAACAGCTGACCAGACTTTAAGAGTATTATCATCAGATCCACTAACTATCCTATTCCCAGAGAACTGTAAACAAGTGATAACATGATCATCGTGTCCTTTTAGTACTTTTGGTGGTCTTATTGGCATAGTCCTCCAGTTCATTTTAATATTATGCTGTCTCATGTATGCTTGTTTCCAGGGTGACCCACAATTGCCAGTGGTGCGACAGGCCTTGCGTTTTGTAGGTGGTGAATCCCTGAGATCATCGATTCCAGCTGATCTGCACTTTTCCTTCCACAGAAGATTGTCATCAGCGAGAAATCGCCAGTTTCTGCAGGTTTGGGCTGCTCGAAGGAGGTCTCTAGGTTCTAGGAAGGCTAGCACTGATAGGGCTAGTTCCTTTGGTAAAAGGGATATGAAATCACGCTGGAATTGTGGTTCTATGACTTGCATCATATGCCGAACTTGCGTTGGTTCGCATCTCTCTATTAATTCATCTATTGCTAGCATTCTTTCGGCGTTTGACCATCTCTGCAAAAATTGAAAATTATTTATCACGTAATATTGGGCTGACTGAAAAATATTTGAGTTCGTGTTAAACAAACCTGAAACTGAAGGAGCCAATCACTCATTTCGGGTGGAGGATTATCTCTAGTTGGAATGACAAATCTAACGTGTTTCCCCTTGTCGTCGAGTTTTTTCCCCAAAAGATGACAAGTGGGTTTTTCTTCGGGATTTAGTTTCTTACAAGGTGAACTAACAAAGTCTGTCTCACACTTCCTCTTCCTGAGTGGCTGGACAACATTCAAGGGGACGCAGGTCTGGAGCACTGGCCTCTGAACATCTGAATTTGATGAAGACTCGTCAATTATATCCTCTTCACACTCGACATCGCACTGTAGCCCGTTGTCGCTGAGATCGCTCTCTTCCTCACTCGTTTCATCCTCACCCTCGTCAGGCCCATTCGAGAATTCCTCGGACTCGTTGTTATCGGTTTTGACGGACTCCTCGTCAGCATTACTCGGCCCTGGACCATTTTCGAGCCTTTCCACTGGACTTGGACTCCCACCAGCTGGTTTATCACCTTCTATACCTTTGGCTGATGCTAGAGACGAGGTTGATGAGGACGTTGAGAAGGATGTCGAGGTGGAGGAGGAGGGCAGGGACATTCCTGATTACAGCGAGACCCTGTGGCCTCTCTAAAATGGAGAAAAAAAAACAAATCCAAGGAATTAAATAGATACTCTCAATAATGCATTCGAGTATTAAGGAAAATAATCAATAAATTACCTGCACCTTCATTTTTTAATAACACTTCATCAAATGATGCAATTCGCATGAAGTAAATCTCTTCGAATTTTAAATCATGCAATCAGCGTTAAAAAAAAACAATTGTGAACTTTAAATCTGCCGTTCGTAAAATTTACTCATCAGAAAAGCCTGCAGACTGCTTTTACAATTTTCAAAAGTTCAAAAAAAAAGTGGAATATTCTCCTCTCAAAAACGTGAAAATCGAAAGAAAATCATTTGATTAAATATTTCATACACGAATTCAATTAATCGTCTTCAAAATCTTACTGAGAATTCCAAAATGGAGCACAAATATTTTTTTTAACCAATTCTAATTAAACCTAACCTCACATCTAAGCACCCCAACGTGTAAATTTCTGATATTACAATTACGATGAAATCCAGAGGTCAAGAAATAGAGAACGAATGAGCAATTGCTTACAAAGTAGAATGAAGTAAAGTATACTCACTGGTTTGTGTTAAAGACCTGCCGTCCTCGAGACTCAATTCTTTATTCAGTCCCCAAAACTGGAATCCACCGTCGATGATATCGCGAATGAAGCAACTATCAAATCTCCATATCATGGATGACGAGAGAAATTTACAATAAGAGGGGAGAGAGTCGGAGTAAAAAATGGGCTGTTGGTTCCTCGGTTGCTTGGAGAGAATCCTCAGGGTTAAAGGTGTCACATCGGTGAGGGCGAGAGGGGGAGTGGACTGTACGAGTGCAATTTTCAACAAAAAAAGAGACGGCAGGTGACGACCGAGGGACTTGTTTCTCCCAGGAGAGCACAGATTAAATGACTTTCGGGGGGTTTTGTCAGCATGGATATGTTGGGGGTTCCGACTGATTGGCGTTATCGGTGTTATTACCAACTCGCGAGAATGTATGAACAATAATAAAAAAAAATGTTTGTTTGACCCCCCCCCCCAAACAGCTGTATGTGTAAACGTGAGGTTGTTCTTTCCCCAGTGAGGAGTCTGCGAGACTCTCTGCACTCGACCACACGTATCACTGCCAGAGATTATTTTTCATCGTCCAGAGGTAACCCCAAAAACCACTAACACTAAATAACCACACCAACGCCAAAATTCATTTTTTCAAATGAGAGATGACGGTAGATGGCTCTATACATCAGTTGTAATATTTCTTTTTACCGAGATTATGGAGGGGATTGTCAGGGCCTGAAACAAAATTTTCAATCTGAAATTAAAAAAAATCAATTTGAAGGTCAAAATGTTTTTTATTCACACGATTCACACTCACGTCCTCTCAAAATTATCGACTGTTTCGTCCTCGTGTTCTTCCTTATTCACAAGATAATTATGTACATTAGTTCACACGCCACCGCTATGTTATTTTATTGGAAAACTTTTCGTAAACACCAGCGTTTGATACCGCCGTCATTCATTTTTTTTTTTTCAAAATAATTCAATTTTTTTTTTATAAATGGCTAATCAATGGAAATATTGTTTACAAATTGAATTTTTGAAAATCGAGAAGATATTCAGTGAAATTGACAAATTTGAAATTTAAAAAAAAAATACCTTTTCAAAATATATACCCCTAATGAAATTATACTTTCAGAATGAGCACGTTGTCTAAATGGTAACGTGCTTGCCTACCACGCAGACGGGCCAGGGTTCGATCCTGCCATCACTCATTTTTTTTTTTTAATAATTCCAATTTTTTCTTTCGGTAGGTATTCACTGCAATTGAAAAATTCTAAATTTTTGAAAAAGTATCAGGGTAACATGAACATCGAGGAGCTATTCACTGAAATTTTCACTGAAAGTGAAAAATTCGAAATTTTTGTAAAAGTATCAGGAGAACATGACAATCGAGGAGCTCTTCACTGAAATTTTCACTAAAGGTGAAAAATTCGAAATTTTTGTAAAA